GCTTAAAGAAACTCAAAGCAAGTGGGAGTAGGTGCAGAAGCGCGGGAATCTTTAGAAGTTAAAGCGGTTTTAGTGTTCGCGAGCCCCCGTCTCGCTCGACCAGCCGCAGCTCATCGATGATGCCACGATCCAGTGACCCTCGAAGCGGCCTAGTCTGCGAGTAGAAAAGAAGCTTGAGAGAAGGTGAAGCGACCTTCTTGAAGGTGAGCAAGTTCGAGAAGATGGAGAGCTTTAAAGGAAAAGGCGGAACTCGAAACCAGTCGCTGTGCCTTCTCTCTTCTTGTGTTTCCAAACGATATTCCGACAAGAACGCTGACATGTTTGACTGCTCTCTAACTCAGAACTCATGGAAAAGCAAAGAGCCTCAACCTTGATATTGGACAATCTTGTCAGCAGCTTGTGCTCACATGTACAGTTCCCGGGTCATCCCCTCGGTTGCCAGCTGGCGCAGCCCGGTGATCATGTTCAGCAGCTTCAGCGCCCAGGCGTCCTCCCGGGTGGCGACCGGGACTTCCACCCGGGTGATCACCTCCCGCTCTAGTTGCTCGTGCCGGGCAGTCCCGGCCTGCATTACCGGGGTCGGAGCGGGCTTGCCCACCTGCAACAGAACAAGATTCGCAATTTGCTCGTATGGATGCCGTTTCTATTTCGGTTACATGAAAACCGCCATTCTGATCACAGTTTGTAGGACTTACAGGTCGCTCTTGTCTTCGGTTCGCCCCTGGAGTGTGCCCACTTAGTCTCCACCAGCGTTGCCTCGTAATTCACGACATCCTTCCTTCACCAATAGAACAGTCCATTGCGGTTGGGATTTGATGGAAGCGACGGTTCAAGCCGTCACAAGGAAGATTCGCTTCTGGTGAAGCACCTGCTTCTTCGTTCTGAAACACGCATCTGCCTTCCTAGGACGTTTCACCACTGATTGCTCAGCAGACCTGAATCGATTGCCCAGACACGTATCTGAAAACCCAAAACAACAGTCCAAACCCGTATCCAAAACCCCCGAGATTCTCTTCTCCCGGTGCTGAAGTCCACTTGCATCTTGCACCACTCGAGCGTGCAAATCAGACCCGTCTTTAATATCGAAGCTGAAAGGCCAAACCCGTTTTTGTAACCTCAAACTGGAAGGCCAGACCCGTATCTGCAAACCCCTCACCCTGGTGCTGAAGTCCACCTGCATCCCGCACCACTTGAGTGCTCAACCTAGACCCATATCTCATGATGGTAGCTGAAAGCCCAAACCCGTGTCTGGAAACCCAAAATGATAGTCCAAACCCGATTCCGGAACCCAAAAACCCCTTACCCTGGTACTGAAGTCCACTTGCATTTCGCACCACTCGAGTGCGCACACGTCAGTGACCGACATCCGGCCCCTCCGGCGCCTCTCCCCCAACTTCCGCCGCCACTGGGCTTCCGCCACTTCTGCCTCAGACGTACTTGGCACCGCACACACGGTTTGCTCGAGGTTTCTCTCCGTTACCCAAACCTCGACTGCCGGGCTTGAGGGAGTGGGGAGAGTTGTCGCCTCGAGTTGATTGGGCGCACTTTCTGACGGCTCTGCGAACAGTGCCTGCTCTACTAGCCCCTCAATGACTGTCACCTCAGTCAGTGCGTTTGAGGAAGAGAGTTCTCGATCCAACTGGGTGGGGAAGGTTTCCGAGGGTTTGATGGCTCTGTGGGCCTTCTGAGGGGACTCGGGGGATCCCCCAGGGGAGGGTTCGGGGGATGCCCCGAGGAAGGGCACCGTGGTGGGCAGGTCTTCGATGTCTGCCAGCAGCGCCGCGCACATTTCGTCGATGGCGTCTAGAGAAAGTTCTGCGGGTCTGCCCAAATCAGGAGCTACTTCTAACCCTACTGCTAGATTTGACGGGGTAAGTGCTGGGGCTGTGGTCATCTTGGATATTGGTTTCTGTAAGGGACTGGACACGAGGGTCCGCTCGGACAGAGGAACGCTGGCGTCGATCTCAGATTCCGTAAGAAGGTCTGGTTCCTTTGAAGAACAATTGAACTGGGTTTTGTCCATAGCAAACACGGCTGCTTTCTCCTTAGGTGAGCACGAGCCCACAAAGGGGGGTTTGGACGCAAGCAACTCTGAAGGCGCGTTTTCTGTGGGGGCACAAACCAAAAGATCGGCGGCGACCCCCCTCGATGCCGAAATCGGAAGGGGGGCGTTTTGGAGGTGTGTGGCCATTGTCTCTACACTCATCTCTTCCTGCATTCGCGTGTCTGGCTCCCTAGGACCTCCTAAAGCTGAACCGGCTGACCTATCAACCGGCACCTGCGTGTCCAGTACAGTGCTGAGTCCTGCCTCCATTGCACCTGGGTCAATGGACCCCTTTGCGCCCGCATAAGAAGCGGGCCCGTTCGTGCCCTCCTGAGCCCCAATTCCGCTTTCGGGCTCATTTCTACAGTGTTGCAACCCTCTACTCAAGCTGAGCCCAATCCCTGTTGCTTGATGTGTTCGGGGGGGCTCGTGGGCATCTTGTAAGAACTCCCCAGGGGACAGCATCCTTGGTTCTTGAATGTCATGCCCTGCATGTTTGCTGTCTAACCCATTCATCGAAGGGCCCCCATTTCCAAAAGCATTGGGACCGCTGGCGGTGGTGACATTGCCCTGTTCCTGTTCTCCCCCTCTTCCGCAAAACCCTGCTTCGCAATCGTCGTTCTTCAACAAGTCGATACAACCTTCTACACCGTCCGCCGCTGGCAAACCCTCCGCCGCCACCCGTCCTTCCTCTGGCGCCGCCACCTGTCCCCCCTGCTCTACAGCCACCTGCCGCTCTGCCGCAGAATCTGATCTCTCCTCTACCACTTTTGCTGGAGAGCTCAACTCTTCATCCTTGGACGACCGCTTCTTGAGCGACGGCGTAAAGTACGCCGAGATCCTTCTCTGCCCATCTCTAGTTTCTGGAGCCGCTCCATCTTCAGAACTCTCCGGATTCTCTGTCTCGCTGAGGGACGCCCTTTTCGCGAGACTGCCGGCCAGCTTCTTCACGGCAGCAAACGACTCCCTCCCCCCCCTTTTTCCCAGCCTGCCCGCCTTGCCCTTCGGCCTTCCCCCCGGGGAGCTTTGATTTTGGCGCTTTGAGGGTGTGAGTGCCTGCCTACGGCTGACATCAGCAAGACCACCGCCAGCCAAAGTCCGGGATATGGGCGCCTCATCTATGACTTTCTGTGCTGCAAAGGCATTCTGATTGCTAGCTGGCACAAGCCGACCAATGGACGCTTCAAATTCCTGGACACTTGCGTCCACCTGCTGAGTGTCGAGCAGTGCGTTTAGTTCCAAAGAAGGCGATGGTTTTGGGATGGCCAGCCTCCGTATGATCCTCTTAGGCGTAAGCGGGGACGCTGGACTTATTCCGGCCCCAATTGTGGACGCCTCAGGCATGGAGTCCATTGCCACCAAATATTATCAGAATCTACAACTCTGTAGATGCCATAAGTTGCTCTGGACCTCCATTCCTTCTCCTCCACAACCGGTTTACCACGTTCTGAAATTTCTCATCGTTCTACACAGAATTCTAGCGCCAGAACGCCGTTCAGGAGAAAAACTTGATTGCGGAAGCAGAACTGCCAGAATTGTGCACTGGCCAGCTTGCCACGCAGAACTCTCCCCGGCTCTCGCGAGCTTCACCTCCTGGGGCCTTGCGAGGGGGCCTTGCGCTGCTGCGTAGCTTGGCCGGAAAAGAGCGAAAAGGCCGTCTTCAGAAGTCATCCTCCTTCTCAGCAAGGCCTTAACCTAATTACCGCCATGTCCGCTAGATTCCCGGGGCCCGGGTCCGGGGGCCGGGGCAGTGTTCGCTTCAAAGTTGTTGCTCAGCTCACGTTGCTCAGCTAGACCTCCATGCATGGAGGCCCAGGTCCAGGGGGGCGATTTGCGACGATGCTGGGCGTGCGTTTCAGCAGGGGAGAGGCGCTACCCTCAAACTTCACATCACAGCATTGCATTACAATACCTGCACTCACCACGTGCAGCGCTGCCCGTCGAGAAGCTGATCGCGGCCATGATGGGCACTGCGCAAGTTTCCCCCATCAGACGATTCCGCACCCCACTCCGCATTCTTTCTTGCTGCATATAAGCATGTCTGGTGTGCATTAGGGTTCTGCCTAGAGTTTTTCCGAGTGGCAGTGGTGTCAGCTATGCCCATCGGAGGGCTCTGCTGGATCTTGACCCCAGTCAAGATCTCGCTATCCCCTCAAGCCTGGGCAGCGTAGCGGGGCTTGTGCAAGTACGCTGTGCAATGGTGAGAATGTCGTGACTTCCTTTTCCTTGTGTTGACCCGCGCTGGTTTGAGAAGGTGGTCGCTTTGGTAGTTCGTGACAGATTAAACTGGCGCACTCTGGTCCACTGGCGGAGGAGAAAGGGTCACAGGGGGCCACCGGGGTTGAGCTCTCAAATCCAAGTCCGCTCTTCGGTGTTGCCTGACCAGTTGCAGGATAAGGTACTACCTAAATTCCCCACTTGAGACACAATCTGGCGAATGTGTTGCACCACAATGTGCAACAGAGTTGGACTATGTGGCTGCCACCTGTCTGAACATCTTTTCTGTCGTTTCCTTCTTCCCCCAAAGTAGCTCCCGACTCTTCTTGTTAAGTCAGCTTGGTTGTTGGACAACACTGGCCCTTCAAACTAGACAGCTGTTCAAGCATGGAGCCCATGCCTTGAGAAGGTTATCTTTCCACTCGCATGCCCTCTCACCTATGCCCAAGCAAGCTGTTGGCTTCTCTGAAGTGGGCTGATCTCCCGGAAGTGAGCATGCAAATTCGACGTTGCTTGTAGCTCGCTGTTTTCATTTGCACAAACAAAACTGACCACCACCATAATCACAACCATTGACAGGTTGCGCCTCTCTTACTCGAAGTGGGGCAACTTACACCTCAGACCGTATGTGACCCCAAGACGATGCAGGCAACTCCGCACTGGCTTCTTCATGCCACATTGCGTATGCCTTTCTGTCCAACGCGCGTCTGTCCTGCTAATCGCCTCATCTCCCTGCTGACATCAGCAAAGCTTACGACAGCGACTCTCTTGCTGACCTTATCAACCCTGCGCAGGCCTCTTCATTTCGAACCGCACGCTGCCCAGCCTGCTCTCCAGCGAGGGCTGCCTGCTGGGCTGCGCTTTGCTGCCGACTCTAGTTACATCGAACCTGCTCAAGTACACCTTCGATCAACGGCTGAAATCGGTCACCACCACTGTGGGGCAGATTGTTGTGAAGGCGATTGTGCAGAGCGATACGAGCCAGCCTTTCTCGTGTCTGATTGAGACCTCAGCGCAGGTAAGTGGCGCTATATCTTTCTGTATTGGGTGGGCTTAGTGAACGCTTTGTTTGGGTGTCGTCCACATGTCGAAGAAACATGGCGAGAAAGCTGGTTATCTCAACCCAGACAAGATCGACGATGTTTGCTGCCTGTATGGGCATCCGTCCACAAGTTGAGAAGATTCTTTGTGGTCTTTCTGGAAGCTACGCGACTTTAGATGAGGTTAAAACGCGCTTGCTTCTTTAGGACCAAAAATCCATGATGCCCGCTGGAAGAGTGACGCCCACCAAAAACAACTTCTCCTGGTCTCATTATTGGTCCCCCGACCTGAAACTTGAAGGTGACAAAGAGAAACGGACTTTCGAGTTCCACGCCATTTGCTGGGCGGGCGCAAGGATACTTCGCATCAGTGCAAAAAGAACGAACCACCTTTTCAACAGGATGACAACTCGGCCAAGACACCATGCGGTTTCTTGCTTTCCTGCTGTATACATCAGACAATCATTGTCGAGAAACCTTCAAGTGAAGACAATAAAAGGGGCCTACCAACACCGAGTTCAAGTAAGGCATGAATCAACCTACGGCGACTTTAGAATCCGCTCGGCATGCATATAGCTCGTCTGCTATACGCATGCCGACCAGCGCAGCCGTGAGGCTCTTCCCAAGGGACCATCCCAGAAGGGGCGTGCTATTGAAGAAGCCTGGCGTAGCGTTCAGCGACGACTTTGCCGTGCGCTAGAAGGCATTAAGTGGTACTTTCCAATGATGAGTTGGAATTAGTACGCGGTTAATGACGATGACAAAACGCGTGTGATGCGAACAATGTCAGATAGTAGTCGATATGAAGGAGACCAGCACATGGACATTAACGAGCCCCACTGGAGTCTACCCTCTGTCAGCTCATCATTCTGTCAGCTCGTATAGCTCGCATGCGTATAGCTCGCTGACAGAGGCAACGACGTCATCCGCTTTCTTCAGATCTTCGCCCGCCTTCTCCGGGCGTTTCTTCTTATCTTCTACGTATTCTTTGTTTCTTGTCCGTTACTTACTGTGTCGTTTCCGACATTCTGACTTCCTCGTTCTTCGACGTTGATTGGGTCTAGCGCTTCCAGTTCCGACTGGAGACGCCCTGGTGTCACACGCCCTGTTTATTCCCTCCGCATAGTCTCCTTGGAGACCCGAGTCGACCCGTCCGCTTACTTGACAAGGTAAGACTTTTGTTAACGTTCTGTTTTCACGGTCACAACACCGTAATCCTTTTTTTTACGAGCGAGATGGGAAATTTGCTTTTCCTAGAATGAATATACCTGCACTCGGCTGTCCAACAACCATTTTCCGACCCATTCGCTTTGCGTCTCGCAGGCGCCATGAAGCTGACACATCCAACCCCCCTCCCGGAGCCCCACTGAAGTGATGTCCCGAAACTTCACCGTCGAAGATTTGCTCCAGCAACTGAGCGGCATCCAGTGGACGGAGGTTTATCTACGGGGCACCGACGCGACAGAGATCAGGATTGGGCTGGCGCAGAATGATACGGAGGCGTTTGTGGCGGAACATCCGCAGGCCATGCCCGCAGGTGAGGGCGATTCCTGGCCTGTGCGAACTTTGTGAATACTAGGAAGCGGTTGGCAGTGACCGTGAAAGAGTGGCGGCTAGGCAGGGCGCTTTACTTTCTCAGTCACGATCTTACAATCATTACATCATTCTGCCGGGAAGATCAAAATCAGTAAAATAAATCTAGTCATTCGCCCCGCTCACGGCCCACCCTGATGCTGACGCAGACCCCACCCGTCCCCCGAGCTTGATGAGGCAGACTCAAATCGCTTCAGCGCTGTTGCGTGGAATCGAAGCGGCGTATTGATGGTATCTCGATCTTTTTTGCGAGTGTCTGCATCAGTTATCTCTTGAGGGGGCCAAGACACAGGGAAGCACCTAAAGCCATGAGGAGCTACTCTTTCGTCCTAAGCTCCTTCCCTATGAAATAACCTGGTCGAACCTAGAGCTTCGCCGCGGCTGCTTCCCTTGAGCACCATGATCTGTATAAGCTACTGCGGCGTCATAAGCTTTCCCCTTGTGCAGGCACCCATTCGGACAACAGCACAAGAAACGTGCAGCTACTCCAAGGGCAACTGCGGCGGAGCTGACGGCGGAAACGACACTGCGAACTGGAGTTACCCGTTCAACCGGCTCTTCAAGCCGCTCGGCGCGCGCTCGTTCTCGCTCGGCACCGACGGCGTCGGCACGTTTCTCGCCAGCCCTAGTTTCTTCGCGACAGCGCACGACTGGGCGCGGCTCGGAAAGTTGTATCTGCAGGTAACACTCTTGGTTATTGGTCTGATCCTAGTTCAGTGCATCCTCGAATCGAGATTTGCCACCCACGTTTCGCCACGCAAGCGTTAATATGAGAGCCAGGAACGCTCCCCGGCTCTTGGAGCGTTGAACTCTTGCTAGCTTGATATGTTCAATATCTTTCCTCCGACTTCCTCTGTGCGTCCTTTCTTCCTAGTCCGTAGGCAAGAAATATTGTCCGGTTTGTGGAGCCGTTCACTAACTGCGCGAAGAAGACCAGAATTCAGCAAGGAATGAGTTGAGTGGCAGGGGCGAAGATCATACTTTGATTAGAATCCGCTCGCGCAAATCAAGGAAATTCAAAGAATTGGAGAGAACATAGACTTCCAGGCTTGCCCTTTTAACCAAACCCCAAAAGGAAGATTGACCCCATCACAGAGGGGTGACCTGATAATTTATGCCTCTGCTACGGTCAATCCAATCGAGCCTAACCGTTCGGGTGCAGGACGGGGTGTGGAACGGCACCAGGATTCTGCCACCTGGCTGTGTGAACTACACACGGACGTCCAGCGAAGCGTCCGCGGACTTTGACTGCGGTCCGGCGTCGCGGGCCATCGGGAACTGCGGCCCGTACGGCGCGCTCTGGTGGTTGCGCCCGTTCCGAAACGTGGCGAGCGATAGGCTTTGAAGGGCAGTATATCGTATTGATACCGTCGCAAGATTTGGTGATCGTGGCGCTCGGCTGGGCGGTGGATGATTTGATGGAGGATCGGTATGCGGGGGCGCTGGTTCACAACGTCAGCGCGGCAATAGCCGTGTCGGCTGCCCGAGGAGTATAAGCTTCGACTCACTTGTACATAGCACGCGTTCATTTGGCTCGTTCAGAAAACTCCCGCTCTTGCAACTTCCAGGCTAGGAGGTCTTGAAAGATGGCTGCCTTCGGGACCTTGTTAATCTTGATCATCCACCTTTAGGCAAGCTAGTCGTCTACAAAGCAATTTGGCAGTTGCAGGAACGTCCCGGCTTGATAGATTGTTGGGAGACCTCAGTTTGCAGCAAAGGCAGACCTTCAAAAACAGCAGTTGTTGCCCCTTGGCGTTAGCGGCCGTTTGTTCACCATTGTGAGGTGGCATGCAGTCCCGTCAGCGGGGTGCGTCCGAGTAAATAGGCTAGAGGCGAACCAGTGCGTGAAGGACCGTCCTATCGGAAAAGACGTTTCGACGAGCAAAGCCACTGAAGGCGCTCTGAGACCCTCCTTGAGTCCTGATCATTGCGCATGCCCGTGGCTGCTACGCAATAGGCGGATGCATACTCGGTGCATCCACGATGTGTCCCCGCAAAATCAAGTAAGGGAGCACGAGTTCTTCCGGCAGGGCCGGCATGCGAGGCAAAATGACCACGGCCAAATTGTGCAGACTCAATGCATGAGCCGGAGTCAGGAAGTCCGCGGCATGGCGTTCAAATGCCAGAGACCGGACCCCTATTGTGTACAACGCACAACACTTCTGTAAGTGTTTCTGGCAGTGATCAACAAGCGTCGATCTCCCTGTGTTCATCATAAGTCCATGCAATTTAGCTGTGTTACCGTTACCAAGCTTCTCTAGAGTCATATACTCGTCGGAAGCATGCATTTGTGACTAGCTGCAACGGTACTAAGTATATTTTAACAAGTTGATCGCGAAGCTTTCCATCGCGAGGACGACAAATGAGCAACTGTCGATAGAGTGTTGGACTGACTTGTATGCATGAATAGACGTAAGCTATAAGGGTGACTACGCCGGGAAGTTGCCAACATACTTTTACAAATACCTACCAAGTTCGACGAAAACTTCAATGTACGTCGAAGCTTGCGGAATGCACATGGCAGTGGGCTTGACGAGCACAACACCAGCACAGCTAGGACACCATGACCAATCATGCTCATGAATCAGCTCAAAACGCCAAGAGTTCGAAAGTCAGGAGGGACACCATGCACGAACATTCTCGACCTTTTATCTCAATCTGTTATCTGTTATCTCAACGTAAGAGCTGAGTGTCACAGCCGGAGTACGTCACGTTTTGCATTTTATAAGTTGCCACGACATATATCTGATATCTGCCCGTTGCAGATAGCCTTTCTGTTACAGGGTTCACTAACTAATCAATTATGATCCGATGATCACAGGTTTTAAAATCCTCCTCCTCCTTTTGCTACACGCGTGACCATTTACACCACGCTCCCACGCGTCTTGGACAGAGGATTTACCGCCGTCCATTGTGCGCACAATTCTAAAGATGCGGCGTTCTGCTGTTTTCGGACGATTGGGTGCGACTAGCCCACAATTCAGATGCCTTTTTTCGAATGCAGGATCCGCTTAGGTTCAGGCGCCAGTCAGGGCGGACGAAAAATCCCGATGGTTGCCATCCCGGGTCGGGGATAAGTCCGCCGGGATCTCTGCTACGCCAATGTGCTTCTAGGAGCAGCACGGCACGGCACTCCCGGCACAAAACTCCTTTAGGCTGTTTGACTTGCCAGTTTACTCTCCCGTCATGATCAAAGCATTGGTAACCATACCATGGATCTCTCCGGTGGAGCCCCTTTTCAGGATTCATCTTGAGCGTCACATACTTCGGTGCGCTGCCCTCGAGCGAGATGTAGCACTCAAAGTGCGCCTCCGTTGCCCAGGAACGTTTGGTGATCTCATCTGGAAGCTCCTTCGCTGGAAGGAGGGGCTGTAGGTTCGGAAAGTCAAACCTAAACTCTTGAACGAAGTCCACATGCCTATCCATGTTGTCGAGTGAAGCCTTCCCAGCTCCGTATAGGCAGAGCGCACCATTTGAAGCCCTTACAGCAACCAAAATGTCTAGTTGAGCGCATGATCTGATAATAACAGGCTCTTCGCGGCAAGCAGCCCTTGTGGAACTGTCACCATCCAACTTCTCAGACAGTTTCGTGGCGCAGCGGGCCCGGACGAGGGCCTCATAACCACCTGCTGATTGCTCAACCAGTGTCTCAAATTCCTTCCCTCTAACATGCGCGATATCAGGGGGTTCCAACGGACTGAAGAAAGCTGCTCTCCACGGCGAAGGGTGTAAAGAAATGACAGAACGGAAGTTCTTGCAGGCAGAGCTGGCAGCAACTAGAGTTGGCGGGTCCAAAGCAGCGAGCTTGCTGAACTTGAAGATGCACGAAAGAGCTTCGTCCGGCAATAAGACCTCCTCCTCAAACGGCACTCTTGCTGAGTCCTCAAGGTCAGGCTGCTGATCAGCAGTACACCGATCCATTGTCCAAGTGTGTGGAAAGTTTGTTAAGCACAAGTTCACAAGTCTCCTTAGACACAGTCTTTCCACAGACTGTGTCAAGGACCAGAGCTTGCCCCTTCCAAAGAAGTAAAGAGCGAAGAGAAGAAGGGAGGGGACGCCTTTTATCGGAATGAAGGTCATGACTCTAGCTTATTATTGTTGAGAACCTGAAGGTGCTTTTCTTGTCTTTGTTCATGTCGCCGGCTCGGAGACGCGGCCGCGGCACGGCAGCGAAACCGAACCCTTATAGCAAAACCCCGAGTCGGTTAGCTAGGCGCGCGTTGCAAGAGCGCCCGGTGCGCGCGGCCTTCGAGCGAAGTTGCCAGGACGCCAGTCACTGATACACTGACATGCAAAACCTATCAGTAGTTGAGAGTAGCTTGGGTCTATATAGGCGCCCCGGCCGAAACGCTAAGCTTTTTCGACCGTCAGGTGCCATCCTTTGAGAAAAGGTTGCTTTCCGACGTACGGTGCACATCCAATATATATGAGAAAAGGCAGACTGCGAGATGCATCGAAATGTTTAGTACGTACACCGGGATTTGATGGAGCTGGTCGCTTTTGCAATAGTGTACGAAATCGCGACAAAGCCCCATGACGAAATTGGCGATCCTTTCAGGAGTTGCCGCATTCCGTCTGGTAGTGATCGAAAAACTTCATGATCGTTAATCTCAGAAACCCAGGTCGAATAAATGTGAACTAACAGATCCGAGCAATTCTGTGTATCGAGCTTTTGAAGGGCAAGCGCAATATAATGTTCCAATATATTGTTCCAATCATATGCATCATGAGCGCATGGAAAAATCAAAGGCCGGCTGCAGCCTGCCGCGCGCCGAGCTGCATATGGTACTGGCTTGTGCTCGCGGTGAATCTGATGTACGATTGAAGATCGAAAGTGAATTCAGGCCCGGTGGCTTGTCAAAGAATCATCTGTGTTAGCATGCGGTGCGCTGCATACTAGCGCAAATGTTCTAAATTCAGGTTCGAGCAACGCGCGGCTGGTGTGTATCTGCCACTTTCTTCGAGAGATCTTGCATGCGAACGTGCATGCGTCAGACACGTTCATTTGCATGTAGATAAAATGAAGACCCCGGCCACGAAATTCACGCTGAAAGCGCTCCGATGTCCTACAAGGTATATCAGCTTGTGTGGGCGCAGGGAGGGCTTGGTATTGGCGTCATCGGTCAAGTTCAACAAGGTCGAATGCACATGGATCTGAGTGACGGATCAATTCGTAAAGACTATCTCTTCGCAGCGGCTCGAAGCACGTCTTCAATGGCTGGACTATCAGAGTGGTTGTCAGGATGGAGTTCCCATCTTATTGAACGGTTAGTCCATGTTAGAAATAGACACGAGACGTATGCTCGAGGAGCATCCTGGAAGTTCGTGGTCAGTCAAAGTTAGCCGTCAGGTTCCGCACGGTCTGAAACAACTACTCGTCAATCCTCGGAGTCCTACCGGCTGTCAGGGTCGCCGTTCCTTGCTGGGCGTCTCGAAGCGGAGGCTTGAAGTGCATCTTTTTTCCATAAGTGAGTTGCGTCTGCAGCTTGGACCCGTTCTTCTGGCGCCCGGCGACCTTTGACGCGGCCGCGCTCTGCACCCTGCGTGCTTCTGCTGCTTTGGCCTCCACATACGCTTCTGCAACCGGACGGAAAGACCCATGAGAGGCGAGCTTACGGGGCTGGTGGTGTTCCCGAGTTAGTCAGACGAGAATCGTTAACACAAGAGAAACAATGGACGTTGATTTCGTCTTCTTAGGTCAAATGCCGTTGCAGCTTGTACGCCCCATTCTCCAAACCGCACTCATCAACATTTGGAGCTGCTTCTGAGAGTCAAAACTTGCTTGGTGTCGCCGAGTTGGAATGGCAAGTGCGAGCTTTTCCTGGACATCAATCCGCGATCGAGCCTCCCATGAACGCGAGATATTCGATGAAATGGGCAACTTGAAGGCCAAGAAATTACGCTTCGGCTTTACGGTTTGGAGAAGTTAGGGCTTGTACGGTTGAGATTCAACGCACCTTTTAGCAACTCAGCTCTGGTTATGCCCTTGTTCCAAAAGCTGGACCGGCGGCCGTCGGCAGAGGAACCTCTCGGGCCTGCGCAATACACCATTCTGATCAGGTTGACAGATTTGTCGTCGTTTTAACGGCTTTTTCTATATCATTACCTGAAAACACTTGCAATCGACATGGAAGTGGATCAGGATAAACGGGAAGCCAGGAGCTTAATAATGCAGACTTATTATATGTCCCTTAGTACGATAGCTCTGGCCAAGTGAACAGGATGAAGATAGGTCGTTTCAACTAGGAGATTGAGTCGGGTGCGGATGCGGTGCGTGTGAGCCTGAGTTCTTGCAGCTTGTTTTTCACGTTATTCGATGGTTATTCACTCGGCTACAACTTCCTGAACGCCGCTTTCACATAATGCCAAAACTCGAACACCAAGGTTTTTCCATGGGAGTTTCTAACCATATTGTTTCGTTTGGGGTACCTTCTCAGCATCTTGAGGGATGGCTAGAACGATTCGACAAGCCAACCATCTTCAACTTACTGGAAGGACCTCAGAACTAATCTTCTGTCACCTGTGATCGGTCGAGGGAGCTAGCTAGATTTCGAACGCACCGGAGAATGCTCCTCAAGCTTAGGCTGACTATCGACTTTTACAATATTGGCTGAGCCTTACTAAGCTGTGAGGGGGGACTGCATTTGCAGGCTTTCCGGTGGGAGGTTCTCTATTTGGAGGAAACAGACTGACCTATTGCTCCAAGCCGGTAGTTGAAGGAGCCCGGCGCGAGATCCATTGACGTGTCCTGCGAGGAAAGTTGGAAGCGATCGCTACTTAGTCGTCGAGGGTCAAATCGTTCGGAGCCCCCGGATTCAGCGAGATAAAAATATCAGGATATCGTGGCAAGATTACGTCAAGGAGAAACACCTTCTGTTCTCAACATACTCATTATTTTCATATTGCACCGAAGGACTGTACTGCATCTACTGCGTCCTTTCGCTCTACCGACGCTCAAGTCGACCTGCCTGTGGCGCATCCCGTACAAAGTGCCGGTCAAAATCGAAGTCACGAAACGAGACGTCAGCACTACAATTGACGCAAGCTCAACTCCCTCGACGCAAGCTCAACTTTGACCGCTTTTTTGATGTCTTCGATAGGCGCCATCTGTTCAAAATGGATAGTCATATAGTTCAGTCAGAATCCGGATGGATCGGTGCCATGGTTAATCAATACCGAAACTCTAAACCCGAAATGACCGAGGCAACGCACCCGAATACCTTCCCTGACCCTGCATACCAACCCCATCCGTTCTCGGAGTTCCTCATTACTCTTAGCCCGTATTACTTTCAACCTTTTCTTTTTTGAAGATGGTCCTTACGATGGGGAAGTGGACTCCGTGCGCGGGGTGCGGCCGCGCGACGCTCTCGGCGGGGTGGGCCGGCTTTCCTAGTGACGTCAGCGCGGGCGTCAGCACCTCCTTCACCAGCAGCTCGAGCGTCCCCACGACGTCAGCAGGGGTCGTGTCGCCACGTGGCGAGTGGGGCGGGCTGCTCGCGCACCACGCTGAGTTCCTGCTGCTTGGAAAGGTCTGCATGCGGAAAAAAGCACTGACGTTACCGGGGAAGTGCAGTGACCGCAGGCTGACAAGGGACGAGCACGGGACGCATAAGACTACCGTACCGATTTGGGGCGGAATCTTCCTACTCGTTCTTGAAGATGAGATTCAGGTTTGACAAGGTATCGCTTATTCGCGACTTTAAAAAGCTGTCAGCTTGGTCAGAATTTCCCACAGTAAGTCCGTTCTGTCCACTACCCAGCTGACGTCTCTACCTTCAGAACCGGCCGCTCTCTTTGAATGTTCCTCTTTCTGACTTCGACTCAAACAATATACCCCCAAACCTCGCAGCCAATGCCAAGTTATTACAGCTTCACCCACTCACCGGTGCGCGCGCTTCTAGCACGTGTATCAAGCCCTCGAGCCCCGACACCGCGGCCGCGACCTGCGTCTCCAGCTCGGCCCACTTCCGGACGGCCTTCTCGTGCCGCCGGCGCGCCGCGCCCTGCCGCTGCTCGAGCGCCTCCGTGTCGCGCCCCGCGCGCTCGTCGCGCTCGCTAGGCCGCGCGGGGAGGCACGCCGCCGCATGGAGCTCGGCCTCGAGCGCTTCCTGCGGCACCGAGGTTTGCTTAGCCTCTGACATGGTCAGGAAAGGTAAATCAATTGAAGGAGGCACGCACGCGTGAAGCGCAACCGTGTAAAACGGTGGTGACCTTAAGAAAGACGTTTTTTTGTGTCAATGGCGCGGATCCGACGCGGCCGCGGAGATCGCGGACCCTTCTTGCGTTTACAGATTGAAAGGAAGGCCGCCCTTTCAGGTGCCAAGCGCCTTGAATCACAGTCTGGTAGAACAGTGTCTTTTGCGCAATCAAAGCTCTCGTCCGTCGTAATCCAAGAATCTGACTCTCGATAAGTGGAAGACCCTCCAGAAATGACAGAGCGCTCTGATTGAACAGTGTCAAATTGCATCATGAGCTGCCTAAGAGGTGTGTTGTTGACCAAAGAGAACACTTGAACGAAGATCAGAGACGAAAGGCGGCAAGGCTGCACGCACCTTTCTAGCCTGCAGACTTTGCTTATGCGCCTCAGCGGCGGTGACTTCCGCCTGAAGGACCTGCAGTTGGCCGAGCACAAACTCTTATTTCTTGTTGTTTATCAGAAGTTAAGCTTTGAGTTCATGATGGCCTTGCAAATAGCTCCTTGTCAAAGGCAGGACCCAATCTGCACCATGCTTCCAGCCTTGCTCAGGTTTTTGAGGTCCTCATTTTTACCAGGAACTGTACTTCGAAAGTTGATTGTTTCGACAAGCGAACGAATGTCGCTTCGTTCTTAGAAAAAGCTTTCCGAAGGTCCGAAAATTGCTTTGCTTCACTTCCAAGACGGTGCGATCGACTGCAAACCCGAGATCTACTCTTAAGAGACTCATTTAACTTTAGAGAAGGTCTTAAAACTGTTAGAAGGATTTGGATGGCAAACAAACCAGAGCGGCAACTGAAAAGAGCGGTACTTTCAAAGGCCTCTGGGCACCTCCGAAGAGCGCAAAACCGCCTAAACGCTTTGATGCAACATCAAACACGAATCGTTTCGCGTCGATAGCAATTGGTCGACGGTGAAACAAAACAGTGCGGACACGCTTTGTCGCTCCCGCTTTGATTAACGTTAAGTTTAGCCGACACGATGGACCCATTCTTTTATATTCCACGGTCCGACGATTCGAACACCCCAAAGAGCCGAGTTACCTGGTGCTTATTCTCGTTGTCCTCGTGCCGCTTCAGCGCCTTGAACAGGTCATGTCCAACCAGACGGCCGTCTGCGCGTCGGAAAGAGCACGTTGCGTCAGATTTGCTACCAGTTCGCTCCAGCCCACTGTCCCATTTAACGGCTGAAAGTTGCTGTCAGGTCAATCGGACGGACAGCTGGCGAAGATAACGTAGAGCGGCGCAGCTCTGGCGGTGTCAGGTCTGACGCAATCCCGCGATCTGAAAGTCTAGAATTGAGATACAGAGTGGCAATCTTGGTGGACTCTTTTGCGCACGAATGGAAGTTTGGAGCATTGATGCTGAGAACTCGGCTTTTCAGCTCGCTTGGCTCAGGCAAACACCTTATGAAGCGTAACCGTTTTTCCAACCCTTGATGACATGTCCGTCCGTCTCCGCAAATATTCTCCAGCCCTGTTAAAAATTTGAACGACCTTGGAACCCAAATATCATCTAGTCATATCTCGTGACATAAACGAGGTCAAGCGGGTCACCTTTAACAACGGCCTTCGCTATCCGGGGCCCCAGCACTGCGGCGTGCAGCTCCTTCAAAACGCTCACCACAATCTGCTTTCTCTCCACGGCAGCCGCTTTCTCCTGAAACGTGCAGAAGTACGGAGTGATTTGACCATCTTCATTGTCAAACTCCGATTCAGAGTGTTCAACTCCAGCCGCATATGTGGCTCATCCACCATAGGTCTTGAATTCAGCAAAGCTCAAGATCATGCGTCATACAACGGCTTCTCAGAGCATTCTAATACAAGGCATTGAAATGAGAGAGTCAGCCTTCAGTACCCCTTCAAACCTGCGAGCATTCAAGCATTGTCGTTCTCCAGGATCGATCCTCGATTTACAATACGCTATTGAGATTACTGACACAGCCTATTGGCGTCTCTTGTCTGCAGGCACACTCAACAAGTCCGACGAAGCCACTAGTACACCACAAATATCAGTACGAAACCAAGCTTAGGCCGCTCTCTTGGCTGAGCTCTAATCCTCCACTGAAGTTTGACTCAAAGACTCTATCCAACAAGATCGACCCGTTTACAAAGAAATAAGTTCTATTATGCAGAAGCAGCCCTCCCTGTTCTGCTTTCCAAGCCTTCTTACGTTGCGCCCCGACTGCGGAGAGAACCAGCTTCAAGCACTTTACCTTGAGGCTCATTCCCGTGCGCGCGTTGATCTCCTGAATGACGTTCTCCTTGTGTTTCCGCCGCTCCTCTAGCTTTAGCTGCAAATCTCGAAACGCCGCGTGTCGCGCTGCTCTCGCCTCTGCGACGCGCGCGCGCGCTTTGGTCAGAGCTTCCATCTGTTTCCTGAAGACGGCGATGCTTGCCTGCAATCACACGGCATAGCGTAAGAGATCGTTGAACTATGGCAGATGCTTCTTGAAGAATTCTTGCCAGGATTGATCTAGAAGCGCAGGACGATATCCGAACGACAGACGAGCGTGTTCCTGACTCCCCCGGAGTACGTCTGCCTCCACGGGCAATGTTTAGGTCCCGCTTCGATAAGCGGACAGCCCGAGCTCAGAACGTCTTTGCAGGGTTCCAGAAACGGCTAGTGACTTTCAAATTCAGGGCGGCAAATGATCAATCTTGACTTTGCAATTCGCAACTGTGTTCCTCCTAGTCACTACAGATCCGCTGCTGCTTTGGCCGACGGCGAAAAACCCTGCTGCACAAACGAATCTGGTGTTCATGCAGTCAAAATGTCAGATCCTCACCTTTGCTTTTTCCTCCTCCTCCTGCTGAATCTGCAGCGAGTGGCTCCGGTCCGCACACTCTATGGACAACCTGCAATCACCCGTCAAGGAAAAGACTGACGCGGCGGTTGGTTTCTTGAGCTTGTTCGGCCACTTTTCTGAAAGTGATGCCATCCTTCTCAAGACACCTCGAGTAACGATTCTGTAGCCATCCGGCCTTTGATTTCTGTAACGGACGCCAGGCGCTTCGAGGCGTACTCAGAACCTTGCGTACGTTCACGAACAAGTAGTGTCAATCACATTGTTGGGCGTCCACTGGCGACTGGAGTGCCGGACGAACTGATAACGGAAGGGTTAATATGGTCCACATATTTGTCAATAGATCATGGTAACGTGTCACTTGCTGGTCGCGCTCCTTACCTGCGCAGGAGCTCCTGTTGCTGCTTCTGTTGGTCGAGAAGCTTTGCCTTCTCCAACTGTCACGTGGACAACGCCAGGGGTGAGACCAGGTGGTGAAATGCACTCACATGAGATAAGGCCCGGATGATTGAGGCTCTGTTTCCGAAACAAGGTCGGTTCTTGTGTCAACAGCAAAAGCGAACCAGACTTTATGCGGCATGTGACGTGCACATACTTCCCGCCTCTCTGCCTTTTCGGTAGTCAAATTGCACGATTGCCAGCGGTAAATCCGCCCGCACGGTTTTGATACTATGTCCGCAAAGTTGACTCGGAATCTTTACTCGACCGAAGCTCACCACGTATCGCTGTTGACAGTGTATTCGTATCCGTAGCTTGCGCTCTTCATCGTCAGCTAGGGCCTGCAGAAGCGCCATTGCGTTGGTGGAAAGCATCGGAGCCTCTCTTGCGAATCTCTTTTGCACACTAGACTACAAGGGCCTTTCAGGATACGACTGCATTCTTCATAGGAACTATCATTTTTAATTCGTCTTTGCAGGTTTGACGGAAAGAGAGGCAACGCCAATATGCAAAAGAGAGTCGAACATACTTTGACGATTCCGGGTCAGAGTACAGCCCTGGGGAACCCTGTTCTAATCACGAAAACATTCGATTGCCAAGCACGATCAAAGCGAGAGCAACTCGTGCAAAACTGCGCCGAGCAATAAAAGCCACTGGCGGTAGAGAGAGGCAAATCGTCGACACTACATCACATGGTCATCCTCTTACTATTGTCTGCGCTTGGTTCTGAGATGACTTCAATTTTCAGTAGACCTGACTCACCTGCATCTTATCTGCGCACACCACCGGGTCTTCGTCGATGGAGAACCCCATGTAAGCTAGGGACGGCCGTGACAAGAAGAGGAGTTGAGAGTCCTCCAGCTCAGGCAGCCGGTGCGAGCTCCGTTCCTCTGGCGCCTCGCCACCCTCCTGGACAAGCAAGGAAAGATCAATTCGATGATGGAAGTCCTTTTTGGTGTCCGGTTCTTAACTACAGCTAGTGGCTGCTCGTTTGGCAAGTTAATTGCCAAGGATGGAAAACAGTCGGTCTTACTTGAAGCCATGTCTGTGTCTGCAACTGATGGCGGTAACGTCTGAGCTAACAGCAAAACCAGTGTTCCCAACTAGTGCTGCGTTAAGGAGTGAACACGGTCGAGAATACTCGACCTGGCTTCAGGATAATTGAAAGACGAGCAAGCAAACATATTGGCTAGCGCAAGCGGAGGGTCCCACGACCATCGGTATTTTAGTTGAGACTGTGTGTGAGTAAGTTCATGTTCCTTGGCGCCATCTGCCTCATCCTTTCCAATTCATTTGTGTCACTGTCCATGTGCTGACCTGCTTTCCAGCACGACATCAAGCTATGAAGCAAGATCCCCAGAACAGGACTAAGCCGTCTATCATTGTTATTTGAGCTCCGGAGTGCCATCTGCCACAAGTAATGGCCGGCCCTTTTGTTAGACTACTTTTCACCAACAGCAAATGTCAGGTCTCCAGCTAATAAATGTTGACAAGCAGAGCTGTCGGCAGGTACTTACTTCTCGCAGGTCCCTCAAGACGGCTGAGATGGCTGCCAGGTGGGTCTCCTTAGAGCGCGACGTATTCTGCGCATTTAGGATGAAGAACATTCATGGAGAACACTTCTGCGATGCTGGAGGTACATGCTCAAAACGCACTGGGGAGCTTATTCGGAAGCACCCGTCACTCAACAGGGAACTTTATGTCACAAGAAGGTATATCAGACGGAGTCTCATGAAAATTGCATGGAAGACGGCCTAGAACAACGATCTAGCTGCCATCACTTCAGCTGTCTTGACCCATTATCTGGATGATTGCAACAATTTGTGTCAGCCTGCATCACTGTGTGAACGAAACCACACAATCAAGGAGACAACAGAGTGTTCTCTTCTTAAAGCCAGCACTCGTTTAGAACCAGGAGTGGGCAAGCTCTCACTTTCAACTCGTTGTAGCTTTTCTGCAGCGTATCGACCGCAATTTCCAGGCTCTCTGCTTCCGCATTCCTGGCACTCGTCTGCGGGTCCTCCCCACATTTCTCCTTCAGGTCATCCTCAAGAGTCCCCCTCAGCGACGCGCTCTGCGCCTCATTGCCCCACGCACTCTTGAGCAGGAACTGAACCAGCGGTCCCCTCGCCTCCCGCTTTGGCCGCCAGGTCACTGAGCTCTTCAGAGCATGCCATTGGCGGTCTCCCCGCTCTGTTAGGGCACCACTCTTGGAGCTATGTGTATGAGCCCCACCCAGAAAACCGACTGTAGGCGGCCGGCTGCTGCGAGCAGTCCTTGTGTTTCTCTCGGTGAGAGCGCCAGATTTGAAGGATAATTGATCTTGAATGTCTGCGTTGCCTAAGTTCAGACGGGCTGACAATGGGTGCTTTGGAACAGTTGCCTCGGTGTTGAGTCTTGACTCAGCTCCTGCGGGGGTGCTGCCGTCATGCTGCTTGGCGGACAGCTCAGGAAGGACCAAACGACAGCTGTCCATCCTTTCTGCGGCTCTTGTGCTATGGTGTGTTGCATCCTATTCCTGGGGCATATGTGCTGACACTAAGATGCTGCACAGAGCCTAGTGGCATCGATCATAATCTGGTTCTGGCCAATCACCATCTTGTGTGAGCCACGTGTGAGCAAATGCAGGATCTAGTCCATGCTGGATTGTGCTCAACTCTGCACAAATTATATCCTGTCTTGATAAACCAAGCAGGACACAACGCAATGCCGAAATAAGTCCTCAGTCATCGAATTTTGTGACTATCTGCCACATTTGGCGATGGCCTGGTCATCTGCAAGAATGTCCAACCAACGTTTGGATTCAACATCTTCGCAGAAGAGGGCCTCTTCTTCACCAAGCTGATCTTATAATACGGTTCTGCAATCCTTCCCCACCGTGGCACCCGACAAAGAAGCAACATGGCTTCAAACCTTGTGCTCAGTGCGGCAGGATCAAGCACCAAGGATCGGGAAATCTGAGCGGCAGATCCGATCTGACACTTTTCTCCAGGTGAGATTCGACGGATCACTACGTAGTCCAACAAGGTTTCCTGTCTTGCATATGTACGTCCATCCGTTCCACCAGATGGTTCTTTGTGCATGCAGCTCAGATTGCAAGCTGAAAAATTCGCCGACTTCAAACATGTGGTTGGCATCTAACCTGGCCGCCTTACCGGAGTTCAACACAGATTACAAGTCGTCCGATGGTCTCGGGTTCGCTCATCGGACGGTCGATAGATCTCGGGATAAAGTTTGCCTTATTGCAATGTCCGACGAACATGCCGTGTGGCTGAACATTCACGTCGGCGCTTTGGCACCTACCGGGTCACTACTACAGTTGGTAGCACTGTATTCCTGCAGTACTCGATCATGCATCAGATGCATATTTAAACCTTTGAGAGCGCCGGAATGACCGGGACCAAAGAACTTTTGCGTTGGAAGCGGGCGAATGGATATTTCTGGCGCCATTACAGCTTGAACAGGCGCTATAAGCTGGACAGGAAAGCTGCTTGGGCTGAATTAGGTACTAAGGACGCACGCAGTAGCCAACTCATGGCTCTGGGCGCCCAATGACGCAGGTAGGTGATTAGACGGTGATGTAAGAATGGGCAGCTTTGAGCTGCTCCTCCATTCCGCCTGGATTTCAGCTTGTGAATTGGCGAGTCATGGAACGGTACAAGACGTCTGAACCACCGCGTGACCGTCAACTGTTTTGCAACTCGTCATATTTCAGGCTCATGAGCTCCCGCTCAGCTATTCAGCTGTTCTTTGAAGAGTCCTTTTAGTTAGGCCACTTCTTCCGTAAGAAGTTTGAGGTGAGTCTCCCCGTGGTCCCTGGAGTTCAGCCCCTCCAGGCCAGCTGATCGATCCCAGGCTCATGAGGCCAAATCTACAGGCCGCCGCCGGGGGCAGAGTAACACTACCAGTTGAGAGTGAACTGGATGAGATTGGAAGCAGAAATGAAATCTCCGAAAGATCCCTGACTGAGGAGAAACGCTAGCCTCTGGTTTTTATGGCTACCAGATCCGAAGCTCGAGTGCTTCTTACAGATTTTGAGCCCGCTTCAACCTGCGGGCAACGTTATGAGTTGCGTTGAAATATGACGATGGCCCAGTACAGAACAAGAAAAGCAAACGTGTCGACAGACGACTCGGCCTCGGAACCGGATGGCGCATGGACGTCGAAGACGCTTGCAGCAAGTCATTGGAAAACTGATTGCAAAGTCGGAGACTCCTGTTTCTGGCACCCTCACGTAAAAACCCTCAATGTTGCAGAAGTGCACCACTCCATAGACAAGAAGAAAGGAAGCGAGAAAGCAACTCGTTGGTTCAGAACTTTCAATCGTCACGGTGACGTCTGCGACCTCTTCGATACGAGATGATTCCACGTACACATGGGCAATTCGACCAACAAGCTTAGAGTTATGCCGGCGCACCTGAGGCAAACAAAAGCTTGCCCTTTGGGCGCTTGAAACACGGGCTTCGAAGTCGCGGACTGAATTGCAAGTAGTTACGTCACAACAACGAGGCTTTGACGTTTAAGGTGCGAGCAGGCCAGTTGAGTGTGAGGAGGACCTGAGCCTGAAGTGCCCGAAAAAGGGCCGAGCGAGTGCTTCACATTTCACACTTTCTCGGATAAGAATTTACTCATGTTCAACGGGGCCCACGTTTTTTCATGGTTGGGCCTTACTAGCACTTCATTGCAAGAAAGTCTCTCGGTTGTATCAGTGAATATTTTGAGTCAACCGCTTCTTGTCTTCGACTGAGTTCATGTTTTCACGTCAGCAAAAGTCCTTAGAGTTAGATCATGCAGAGCCCTTTTGAACGCCGCCCTTCTCTAGAAGTGAAGCGGTTTTGATTAGTCAAGTCTATATCGGTGCGCAGTCCAATGGGCTGCAAGCTTCGGAAAGTAGATTTCATGCTTTCTGTACAATCGTCGTTGTACAATCGTCGTCCTGTAGGAACAACCTTTCTCATGTGATCAAACCGCAGAACTATCGCCCGCTGTCAGCTCTTCCCACATCACTCGAACCATCTGATTTAGCGGCTTCGCCTTCTCAAAATGCAGACAACGGCGTCACATGTCTACGAACTCCATATTTCCAACGTGGGAAATCTTACGTTGATCCACTCGAAGCCCCGCTCATGCTTTCTTTCCGTGAGGTTTTTGGCAATTGGGTCTTGTCGAAGACCGTCCTTGTCGTTCAAGAAGTTGACAATTGAGCTGAGACATCAAAAGTGTTTCAAGCAAGCCCATTTCACCAGAATCCGTACATAGGCTTCAGTAGGAGCGTTTTAGACGTCGGCGTAGCGGCATTCAGCTCATCTGTAGATGATCACTAACGGCCTTGACAGCACACCGTGCATTGTGAATCCGTCCACTTCGGCCCCACACTGTCAGCTTCGTCGATCAACCAAGTTTTCACTGGCAGAAGTTTCACAAGTTGCGCCGAGAGAAGATCTTGCACGTTTTGAGCTGCCCACTCTTAAGAGCCTCTGAGGGTCCCCTCATCTTGGACGTCCAAATTGAATGATGAGATAAAACGTGAGGAAGCCCATTAGATTAGACAACTAAGTGAGTCGAAATCACAGAGGGCTTTTACTTTTGATTCGAAAGTCTTGAGATTTATTGGCCGGTTTGCTAGATTGGTTTCAGGATCATAAGCACGAATAGTAACTGGTCGAAGTCTGTAGTCAACCATGCAATCGGTCCGTCTCTCGTTTCAGGTCGTTCCACCATGAACAAGCGAACGGTCGTGAACCTGTCTGTCTTTGTTCTGGACGACACTAGTAGTCATTACCGTATGGCGGCGCGGCCTTTATAATTTCTGACGCTCGCGTGTTCAAACTCAAAAGCGGAGGCTCTTCTGCCGAAAGTGAAGGAGAGCTGGTAGACGTACCTCAGAAGATCCATCGCAATGTTCTAGTACAAGGACAGTAATATATGACGTACCACAACAGTATTGATCATACATAAAGACATGGGGCAGGGACGTTGACATGTGGATCAGAGTGGCGCAGCGGAAGCGTGGTGGGCCCATAACCCACAGGTCGAAGGATCGAAATCTTCCTCTGATAAGTTGTTGTGAGCATCCCAGGCACTCTTTTTGCATTACTATCTTTTCATCCTAGGTGACGTCACCAATATTTTGCCTGTGACTTGCCGCTGCTGCACGGTCATTGAAGCTACCGCACTTTACTGGAGTGGTCATGTAACGGTGACGTCACCAGCAACGTTTCACAAATGTGACGATCCTAACGTAAGTTTGGCTTGTTTATACTTTAGAAAGCAGTGTCTCCTAGCGTCGGCGAAGCAATCTCTCAAAGAGCTACATAGTAGCGCGAGACTGAAGGGCCGCGGCGGGCCCCAGGTCACATGAAGTACGTCGGTTCGAAACCGGCCGCCGACGACTGCTCCATTTTTTTGGCCCAACTGTTGCGTTGCGTTTTTGCCCCTTGATTGTTGTGCAAAGTCATAAGAACCCCCTTTTGTACGTCATGAATGCCGCGTCCGTGTGCGTCGGGACTTCCGCATTCCGCCTAATATTCATAAAGCAAAAACAGCATCTTGCAGCGCCAGCGCTCATCGAGAAATCGTGGGTTCAGAAAACGAGGGGTTCATAAGCACTGTACGTCATGAACTTTGCTTTAATGCACAGCTCGATCGTGCAGTGGCGCAGTTCAAGGAATAACGAGATTCGCTCTCTTCAACCATGAAAGGAATCCTTGTCGAAGAGAGCAAATCTCTTTCATGAACTCTGAATACATCATGCCCCTGTCATCGTGCTCGGTTCAACCAACTATTAAGAGAGTCATCTGATCATCAATTCACGGTCCGCAACGGTCCGCTTGGCGGATGGCCTGCTCACCAAGTTTTCAGCCGCCAAAAGATCTTATATGTTTGTGAAGACCATCTTCGAACGTGTCTGCAATCTCAATTGTCAGATATCTGGACGCCTAGCTTATAGGTCGAACTACATAAGGGGATCGTAGTGTTACTGAACTCCTGTTCGAAAGGGTCCTTCAAAAGCCCTTCTCCAACAATTGGCAGATCCACGAGCGACCAAATTGTGGCTCGTACGACCGTATTGACGTCTTTAACACCGGAACGGTTAGTAGTACGTCACCCATGGAGCCACTGGATTGATAGAGAGATTTTAGAAAGCCCCTCGCTCCCATCAGTGTAGCAATCACCCAAAATGTCAAAGTGACGTCTCAGGTACCCGCCCGGTTATCTTCGTCGGTTCAAAGCCGGCCGCTGACATCTTTTCTTGTTCTCAGCAACTTTTAGCAACTTCTAAACTTTAGAGAGAGAATTTTTAGCACGGCTGTCTTCGTTGTCACTGGGTTTCCTACTTCATAATAGAAAGTTGTGTCGTCAGTCCTAATAGTAAGTTCCCAGCCTAGGGGGGCGAGCCTGCAAGGCACTTCAAGCAGTGAAAATCTGTAACGAAGAAAGTTCATGCTTCTATATATGCAAGAACATTGGTCTGGTGCGATTTTCTGAACGCCCGTCGAACGCTTTCGAATCTAGTGGAAAAAGTGCGTTACCCTTTGATCCCCCTCTCCAAGGAAAAAGCACGTCTGTTGAGTCGTCCCGAGAAAAGCGGGGAGAAAGATTGAAAACTGCGCTGTTGAGCCCTGCAATATATATAGAAAAGTAGGAGAAAAGTTTCGATCGCTTCACAAGCAGCCGGCCGAAGGTGACGGCGTGATGTCATGCCATGGCTGCGCCATGGCCGCCGCCACTCCAGGTCCCACTCCAGCCTGAACCGCGTGCCGGCAGGGCGGCAGCGAGCTCAAATAAAGCCATTGGTACTACTTTAGTCACTGATTTACTGAGTTATAAGACCAGCGGAAGGGCCCGGCCCGGCCGGCCGGGGCCGGCGGCGGCCTGGCCGCGGCCGCGCCCCCTTCTACCGACGCCGTCGAGCTCCGCCGTTCAGGGAACCTGAGCCGTTAGATCCTCGGTTCCTCCTCGCATCCAATGGCTGAACTTTGCAACATGACTCAATTTGCGCACCCAGTTTGCGTATCAAGCCGGTTCCATCGGGTCAAGTGGTCAGGTTTGGAAGGAGCGATCGTGGTTTTGACGGCGTCACATTGCGGTGACCATTTCCAACCGTATTCTGTCCGCGTCTCAGAAGACGGTGCGATCCCGTCAGCTATCATCCTGGTTTGTATAACCCTCCTACTTAACTCCAAAATCGGGTTAGAAGGACGTGCTCAGGAGCCAGGCTCATGAGTCCCTCAGGCTCAAGAGTCAAGACTCGAGACGAGGCGATTCGGATTGGGAAGGCGGTTTGCAGCAGGACGGTCCAGCAGGACGCAACATGGCGGATCACCAGGGCAGACAACAGAAGATATGAGCAAAGTCATCATGTCAGACCACAGCCAAGCATCAATGCATTAGAACCATTCTGCTTCAACATCACAAAAATTGGAGGAACCTGGTTTGAGAAGCACGGTCAGCAAGGAGCTGGGGCGCCTGACTCGTCTCATACGCGCAGGAGAATCACGGTTACAATTGAGTAGGTTTCCGTAACGTTGGTGGTAAAGTCGAGCTTCCGTCATGGCCAGCGGGGGTGGTGCTGAGGCGTATGCCCGGTACAAGCAGTATGAGTACAAGGCCAACTCCAGTCTGGTCTTGACGACTGACACGCGCCCCAGGGACAGCCATGAACCGTCCGGAGAGCCGGAGACGCTGTGGGGAAAGATTGATCCCAAGAGCTTCGGCAGCAGGGTGCAGCGGGACGTTCCGGTTGAGCTCAAGGAAAAGAAGGAGAAGGCGCAGAAGAAGAGGGAGGCGAGGGAGAGGGAAGGTGAGGCTCTTTTTTTCGCGTGATTTCATGGTTGGAGCACGATGGATGGGGTCCCGTGCATGTAGTTTTGGGGGCTTTTCTTTCATTTCATGTTTCGATGCTGGCCTGCCTGCTGGTGCGTTTGTGAGCAAAAGTATCAAAGTATTTGCGAGCGCCCTCACATGTCCGTTCATGGATAATGTTGTTGTTTGCGCAACTGGCGCCACAAATTGTTGTCTTCCCAGTATGAGTTTTTGGGCCGCCGACAAATGAATTGGCAAACAGTGCAGTTGTCGGCTTCGGCTTCCATCTGCTTCTCTGGAGGGCCTTCCATGTTCCTGACAGCAAGCACCTGCAACCGCTTCTCATTTTCTCGCAGTGGAACATGCCTTTCAATCAGGACCATTACCAAGTCGCTTGCTTGTCTGGGAGCATTGATGAATGTTACTTTTCTTTTGGAAAGCAGTTTACAAGGTAAATTATCAGTGCTTGCAACCGAGGAGCCATCATGATTGCAAGGGGCCAACCCGAATTAATCCGTACGATTAGGGTTTGTTACAAGTGCTTGCTTGGCTTACCGGCGTGAATATTGAGTTTCTTAAGAGTCATGTGAGGAGACTTTGAACACCTAGAATTGCCAGTAAGTCGTGAGGATACAAAGCAGGCCTTATGCTTAGAAGTTTTAATTTCTGCATGAGCTGTATCCATCTCAGATCGGGCCATGGATTCCTGGATCAGCCTGGATTTCTGATGCGACATTCCAAGTGAATGACTGATTTCATCACCGACATTTTTGATGCGACACTCCCTGCCGTCACTCAACTTTTTTTCTGCAGCGATTGAGTCTCAAAACTGCTGGAAAGGTGTAGTAAAAACAAGCAATTGCGTACGGATGCCGCCTTATGGTGCTGACTCTGTCATTCCTCTGCAGGCATGCTCGAGGAGGTCGCCCGCAAGAAGCGTCGCAGCAACGACTTTGACAGCCTGCTCGCGGCCGCAGATGACGCCATGTACCGTCCAAAAACCAAGGACACCCGCCTTGCGTATGAAAAACTCCTTGCGGCCATCCAATCACAGTTTGGCGACCAGCCAAACGACATTCTCCGGGGGGCTGCCGATGAGGTGCTCGCAGTGCTGAAAACTGACCGGTTCCGAGACCCCGAGAAGAAGCAAGAAATTGAGAAGCTGCTGAATCCGAAGGGGATGCCCTCGGAGAAGTTTGCGGAGCTGATGGCGATCGGGAAGGAGATTACGGATTACCAGGAGGCGCCAGAGGAGGTCACGCCGGGGGAGGACGGGTTGGATGACGATATTGGGGTGGCCGTCGAGTTTGAGGACGAGGACGAGGAAGAGGAGAGCGACCTGGATGAGGTGAGAGGCACTGAGATTTATCAGAATGCTTCAGGTCTGGCCCCCTTCTAGATTTGGTTATTGTGCGGAAGTTGATGGTCAACAAATGGGAGAAGCATTCTTGCTTTACATAAGTACAGTGTATGTCCTTTCTATTGGATCAACGGAGGTGGGCGAGTGGTGGTTTTGAGATTGGGGAGGCGCTGTAACAACTAGGCGGACTTAAAAACAGAATCCGTCAGAGTTGCTACAGAGTTCAGTCCAGCCGTGTCGATGCTCACGAGAGTTGGAGAACACGCCTTTGCGTGAAGCCTTGTGGGCAACTCTAGAGTGTTGGCAAGCTGGTGGTCGAGTTCCGGACATGCTTGACAGGTTTCGTTGTGAGGGTGGAAGTTGCAGTATAAGATCTTTACTTGCTCGAGTGTCTGTTTGGTGGATATGTCTGCTGTCATGCGCCTCTTTGGAAGAAACCTAGGCTTTCCTCGTTGACAGTTTCCGCAAGCAACTACCAGTTGCTGCGGACTTTCAAAAGTTCGAGTAAGTGGGGGACCCAATGCAGAGAAAGCGGGTGAGAAAGACTAGGTGGTTTTCTGATCCCACTTTATCAATGTCAGTGTAGAATCTGATGATTCATGCCCTTATAAAGAAGCTAAACAAAGATCAACAAAACAAAGACGCTCCTCGCTGCAGGTCCAAGAAGAAGACGAGGACGACGAGGAAGGACAGGACACGGGGCTGGGCACCGGGGTCAACCTCGGCGACGACGAGGAAGAAGCGGGGGGCGAGAGCGAGGTTGTCAAGGTGCAGGACATCGACGCCTACTGGCTGCAGCGGCAGGTGGCGCAGGCGTTTGGGGAGATCGACCCCCAGCAGGCGCAGAAACTAGCAGAGGAAGTATTGGCGACGCTTGAGGGGGACGACGAGCGGGACATTGAGAACCGGCTCGTGATTCTGCTGGATTACGATAAGTTTGATCTGATCAAGAAGCTGATGGGGAACCGGTTGCGGGTGGTCTGGTGCACGCGGTTGGCGAGGGCGAAGGACGACGAGGAGCGGAAGGGGATCGAGGCGCAGATGACGGCGGACGAAACGTTGGCCGGGATCGTGGACCAGATCCACGCCACGCGGACGTCCGCAAAGAAGCGCCAGGAGAACCTCGAGAAGACGATCAAGGACGAGGCGCGGCGGCTGCGCAAGGGCACGGTGGAAGAAGATATGATGGAAGAGGACGGGCTCGAGGGGCCGCAGAAGCGGGGCGGGAGGAAAGAAGAGGGAAGCCAAGAGGGTTGGGCCAAGGGCCAGCGGCAGCTGCTGGAACTCGACTCTCTAGCGTTCCAGCAGGGCGCGCACCTGATGGCCAACAAGCGGTGCGAGCTGCCCGCCGGGAGCTACCGCACGCAGAAGAAGGGCTACGAGGAGGTGCACGTGCCCGCTCTGAAGCCGAAGCCGTTCGGCGACAACGAGGAGCTGGTGAAGATCGAGGCGATGCCCGAGTGGGCGCAGCCCGCGTTCCAGGGCATGAAGTCGCTCAACCGGGTGCAGAGCCGCGTGTACGACGCGGCGCTGTTCAGCGCGCGCAATCTGCTGCTCTGCGCGCCGACGGGCGCCGGGAAGACGAACGTCGCGCTGCTGACGATGCTGCACACGATCGAGCTCCACGGGCGGCGCGGCCGTACCGACGGCACGGTGGACACAAGCGCGTTCAAGATCGTGTATGTCGCGCCAATGAAGGCGCTGGTGGCGGAGATGGTGGGCAACTTCTCGGAGCGGCTCAAGCCGTACGGTGTGAACGTGCGCGAGCTGACGGGGGACCAGAGCCTGACCAAGGGCCAAATCGACGACACCCAGGTGAGCGTTCTTGCCTTTCCTAGGGGTATACGGGCACGGCGGCTTTTCCTGCTTTCCCCACGTGGCCGTTCTCTGAAGGCCAACTCTTCCAACTACCCGCTATCCTCCCCCGAGCGTCGTTTTGTACGAGTCGAAACTGAAGACGTCTCTCGAAGCCTTTCGTTCAACTCGTTTCCGATTGCTCTAGTAATCGACATCGCCTTCACCGGGTCACGTGATGACACTCAGAAGTTCAAGATCAGCACTTGCAGTCTGGGTACTGGTCAATGATTCCTTAGACCTCAACTTCGAACGCTTAGTGAGCGGGATCCTAAATCCGGTATGCTCCCCGCAGGTCATTGTGACGACGCCCGAGAAGTGGGACATCATCACCCGCAAGTCGGGCGACCGGGCGTACACGCAGCTCGTCAAACTAGTTATCATCGACGAGATCCACTTGCTGCACGACAACCGCGGGCCCGTCCTCGAGAGCATCGTCGCGCGCACCGTGCGCCAGATGGAAACCACGCAGGAGGCGATTCGCCTCGTCGGCCTTTCCGCGACGCTCCCCAACTACGAGGACGTGGCGACGTTCCTGCGCGTCGATCTGGACAACGGGCTATTCTACTTTGACAACAGCTACCGGCCGTGCCCGCTCGCGCAGCAGTACATCGGGGTCACGGTGCGCAAGCCGCTGCAGCGTTTCCAGCTCATGAACGACATCTGCTACGAGAAGGTGCTCGCGTCTGCCGGGAAGCACCAGGTGAGGGTTCTGGTTGACGTAATTCTGTGGTTCGGAACTGGGAAGTGTGGAGCTGCATTGGTTGGACTCGCATGGTGAAACGTAAATGTCCTGGGCTTCATGAAAGGACTTGGGAGATTACAGAGTACAGTCGCTTGGAGTGCCTGTTCGGAGAAGGAGTAGTTAGTGGCAGGTACTTTCTTCGTGAAGCGGCAGGATCATACAGCAGTGTCTAGTACAGATTGTTTTAGATACCCTCTTATTGATTGGCAAGATATCAAATGCAATCTTATTCTGGCCCTTGTATTCGCCCCCTTTTCGTGCACTCACGTGAGGAGACAGGCCGGAGGACTCACGGCAGTTTGCAACATATAGTTCCCAGCCCAGATATTGAAAGTCTTATCTTTTCATCTGCCAGGTGCTCATCTTCGTGCACTCGCGCAAGGAGACCGGCAAAACCGCCAAGGCGATCCGCGACACGGCCCTCAGCAACGACACGCTTGGGAAGTTCCTCAAGGACGATTCCGCCAGCCGCGAGATCCTGGCAGCGGAAGCGGAGAACGTCAAGTACAACGATCTGAAGGACCTGCTGCCTTACGGGTTTGCGTGCCACCACGCCGGGATGACGCGCGCCGACCGGACGCTCGTCGAGGACTTATTTGCGGACGGGCATATCCAGGTACGTCCGAGGCGTCTGGGGCTTTGGTAGCGCGAGATCTTTGTCCTTTTCTTATATGATTTTGGAACCTGAGCTGACAAGTGATGGGTGAATTAGCGAGGAAACGGCCGGATGGAGAAGGACCGACCGGGTTGCAATTGGGTTATCTTTCTGCAGAAGGAACTGGGCTTTTGCATAAGCAAGGATCTGCGGGGGCAGGATGCGCCAAGCCTAACAGCAGCTCTTCAAGGAAAAAAGAGCAGGACGGGTGGATTTGCTTGCGCTTTCAGAGTTTGTTATGACCTGGTCACCTCGTCTGCTGTAGTTTCCTTGTTAGTTTCTGCTTTTCTGTCTCTTTGCGGTGGCCGGTTACTCCTCTTGTCGATTGCTTCATGCTGTCGTTAACGCCATTCTAGATGTTCAGGTCCGGCCATCGTTCTGACGTGGGTTCCTCTTGGGCACACTTACTGTGTTCCGGTCCATTCTCTAATGAGCTTCCCTGGTCAGACGCTCCGCTTGACACTACTTTCCATTTTTCAGGTGCTGGTGTCGACTGCCACCCTGGCGTGGGGTGTCAACCTGCCCGCCCACACGGTCATCATCAAGGGCACCCAGATCTACAACCCCGAGAAGGGCGCCTGGACCGAGCTCAGCCCGCTGGACATCATGCAGGTGGGTAGTAACCCTTTCCCGGGTTCTGTGTTTGGATTGCCCTTCTTCCGACCATCTTCCTCGCTTTTCCTTGAGTATCCCCTTTGTGCGCATCTGTAAGCTTCTTGTGGGCCTCGCTTTCTCCTGTTCTAGATGCTTATCTATTCTTATTGCTACCAACTTTGCTCACCTATCTATTATTGGCTTCTTTCGCTCCTGTTTGAGACCTGCATGGTGCTAAGGAGCTCCGCAGCAATGACAATCCGACTTCGGGATTCTTGCCAGACGTATTTATGCCTCTAATGTTGGTGTTGTTATTCTTCTTCTCCTCCCAGATGGCTGTGGAAGCGACTTCTCGACGAAACCATTTACAGTCAATCTTTGTTTCTGCATCCGTGTCGGTGTCAGACAATCGACTTGCTAACTGTCTCTAACCCCCACTATTGTCCCCTGCAGATGTTTGGCCGTGCGGGCCGCCCCCAGTTCGACACCTACGGCGAGGGCATCATCATCACCGGGCACTCGGAGCTCCAGTACTACCTCTCCCTCATGAACCAGCAGCTCCCCATTGAGAGCCAGTACATCGCAAAGCTCGCCGACAACCTGAACGCGGAGATCGTTCTCGGGACGGTGCAAACCGCGCGGGAGGCGTGCACGTGGCTGGGTTACACGTACCTGTACATTCGGATGCTGCGGAACCCGATGCTGTACGGGGTGGGAATAGGCGCCTTGGAGGACGACCCGCTGCTGGAGGAGCGGCGCGCGGACCTTATTCACACCGCGGCGACCCTGCTGAACAGCACGAACCTGATAAAGTACGACCGAAAGTCGGGCTCGTTCCAGGTGAGTTGGTGCCTCGCGGTTTCCTCCTTTTGCGGATTTGGCGGGCCCCCTGAGGAACAGGTGCTCACCATGATCCGTTTTGGATCAGCTTTTTGTTGTCACTGATTCCGAGGAGCGCCAAAATGAGTGCAGCCATGCAGGGCGTGGCCCTTTCTTGAAGTCCTCGGTTTAGGTGTATTTTTCTGGGTCGTGAGTAAGGGGCCACACATGAATAGGTGTTTACCACAAGGCAGTTGTCGTTTTTGTTTGAATCTGCAAGAATCGACATGGGCGCATTGGGCTATTGGTTTCAGAAGCAACATCACATGGCATTAACGGCTTTACTCGTGTTCCCTAACATTCAGACGACTCTAGTCACCAGTGCTTTCTTTCGCCCTGCCCCGTTTGGACCTGAGCCGCAGTACGAGGGAAACTCAGTTAGCCACGGCATGATTGCAACACGTCCATTGCAGAAGAGGATTTCATCAGTCATTGCAACTCATACTGGAAGTAACAACCTCGCTAAATTGGTTCTTAACCCCGCAGGTGACCGACCTGGGCCGCATTGCAAGCCACTACTACATTACGCACGGTACGATTGCGACGTACAACGAGCACCTGAAGCCGACAATGGGCGACATTGAGCTGTGCCGGCTGTTCAGCCTGAGCGAGGAGTTCAAGTACGTGGCGGTGCGCGAGGAGGAGAAGCAGGAGCTGGTTAAGTTGCTCGAGCGGGTGCCGATTCCGGTCAAGGAAACCATGGAGGAGCCCAGCGCTAAGGTGAGAGTTCACCTTAGCGTTCTTGTTCGGTTTGGGATGTAAGGTTTTAGGTGAGGGAGTCGATGTGAGAATTGAGATCAGAAGCTGGTCAAATTGGTGGAGCCCTCTCCCGTCCCGGTTAAGGGATACTATTCGGGAGCCCAGTGCCAAGTTGAACCGGAGCTGGTTAAGCTGTTTGAAAAGTCCGGTTTTGACCAGTTCGAGCAAACCTGAATATGATTGAGGGCTTTGAAGGTATGCTTCGTTCCTCAAACTGAAGTTTGTTGCTCATCTTCGTTGCTCCCCTCCGTTCAGTCTGCTTATAGCAATAGTTTTCAATGCCATCTTCCAACTTTTCTCCATTCCGCCTGTTTCCGGGCTGCCAGCTCCAAGACGATGGCTGCTTTCAGCTAATTGTTTGCAAGGACTATTCCAACCCATAACCGAACCCCGCTTTGTTGCAGATCAACGTCCTGCTCCAGGCCTACATCAGCCAGCTCAAGCTGGAGGGCCTCTCCCTAACCTCCGACATGGTCTTCGTAACCCAGTCCGCGGGGCGCCTGCTCCGCGCCATCTTCGAGATCGTGCTCAAGCGCGGGTGGGCGCAGCTCACGGAAAAGGCGCTCAACCTGTGCAAAATGGTTAATCGCCGCATGTGGGGCAGCCAGACGCCGCTGCGCCAGTTCACGGGGATCCCCCGAGATTTGCTGCAGCGCGTGGAGAAGAAGGAGCTCGCGTGGGAACGGTACTACGACCTGACCAGCCAGGAGATTGGCGAGCTCATCAGGTGAGCACTGGGGGAAGATTACTTCAGGAGTCGCTTCTCTGCTGAAGAGAACCTCAAGTGCTCTGGTCTGTCATTCGATACTTCTCCAAATGCAGGTGCGTCTGAAAGGCAGTTTTATCCGCTTTACGTCCTTTGGAAGGACGCCGTCTCACCGACCTGGATCATGCAATTGGATGGGTACCTTTTGAGATGGTCATTCCCCAGGTTCTTTACTAGGCTAGGCTCCTGCTGGAGGTTCAGTTTACCGCTTGTTTATTGGTAGAGAACAGCTGTAAGAAGACGGAACTTCGTCTGATCCGTGTGCTTTTATTGACGCTGTTTACATCATCTTCTTCTGCCCACCTTTGCTCCAAGAGCTACCGGTCTCCTCCTTCAAAGTTCAGCGCTTTGGTACCTTGGAAACACCCGAAACCCCGAATCCTCTCCTATTCTCAGGTTTCTGAGGCGGGCAAGACCTTCCAAAGCTGCAGCCATTGAGACACCTCTTCGGAGCCTGCACTTTCAGAAGATTAGGAACCTTGAAGCTACTTCAGAAAGTTTGAGCCTCTGCTTTCTGCTCCCCAGGTTTCCCAAGATGGGTAAGACTGTGCACCGGTATATCCACCTGTTCCCGAAGCTGGAGCCGGCGGCCATGTTGTTGGTCTTTTTAAAGACAATCTCTTGAGCACTTTCTTCTTGACCCTTCACACTTTCATACCAGCATTGTAACCATTTTCTCCCGTCATCCTCCCAGGTTTCCGAAAATGGGCAAGACGGTGCACCGGTACATCCACCTGTTCCCGAAGCTGGAGCTGGCAGCCGCTGTGCAGCCCATCACGCGCAGCGTGCTCCGTGTGGACCTGACGATCACGCCCGACTTCATGTGGGACGAGAAGGTGCACGGGTTCGTGGAGCCGTTCTGGATCATCGTCGAGGACAACGACGGGGAGAGCATCCTGCACCATGAGTACTTCCTCCTACGCGCAGTAAGCAACGTGCCCGTCTTGTTTGAACTTGCTGGTTTGTGGAGGTTGTGTGCTTACCTTTCTTGTTGTCCCCTTTTACTTCGAAACGAACCGGTTCTGGACTTTTGTCGAGGATAACGAGGGGGAGAGCATCCTGCACCATGAGCACTTTCTGCTACGGGCTGTCCGCAGCTTTTCGGTATTTTTCCATCATGTCAAAGTTAAGGGGACGTTCATTTGTTTACCTTTCGAAGTATCTTTTCCTGGATAACAATATAAGTCAAGGTGACATTTTCGAATCGTCGTCGAGGACAACGACGGGGAGAGCATCCTGCACCACGAGTACTTCCTCCTGCGCGCGGTAAACGAACTTTCCGGCATATTTTTATTCTGCTGAACTGTGAAGATTTGGGGATCGAGAAGTTTGGTCGATGTTTTGGATCATCGTCGAGGACAACGACGCGGAGGGCGTCCTGCACCACACGAGTACTTCCTGCTGCGCGCTGTACGCAACCCATTATTTTAGTTTCTGACTTCGTGCCATTCCTTTTGAAAGGCTGTGGTCATTGTTCCTGCATGTCGATCATCTCTGCGAGGCACGTCTGCTCTTCCTTGGTCAATTTTACATCAACTGCTGTGGAATCTCCCACATGTCGACCTCCTCGAAGCAATGAAGCAACTTTTGAAGCTGCGCACTCTTCTTGAAAAGGTCCCGAGATCGGGTCTAGTAAACTGCTCTATCGCAAACCTGTAAAACGGCTATCCTTAGCCTCCCCTTGCATCTCTTTACTTCTGTTCGCACTCCAGAACACATACTTGGTCCCCTTCGCATTTGCGCCTCTACGTTACTAGACCAGACCCCTTTACTGATTCTTTCTATCTGTCGTTTCTACAGAACGAGATCGAGGAGGAGCACCAGGTCAGCTTCACGGTGCCCATCTTCGAGCCGCTGCCCCCGCAGTACTTCGTCCGCGTCGTCTCCGACCGCTGGCTCTCGTCCGAGTCCGTTCTGCCCGTCTCGTTCCGCCACCTCATTCTGCCGGAAAAGTACCCCCCCGCCACGGAACTCCTGGATCTCCAGCCGCTGCCCATTTCGGCGCTGCGGAAACCGGAGTTCGAGAAGCTGTACGAGGGGCGGTTCAGCCACTTCAACCCCATCCAGACGCAGGTGGGTGTCTTCGTATCTGCAGAGGCTCTGTTGTTGCTATGCATCTGGTCAGTTTAACAAGGTGCACTGTTTGAGTGGACGACATTTCAACCCACTTTATTTGATCAGATTGCAGGTCATTGTGTAACAGACTTTAGCTTTGGGTTCTCAGAGTTGTCCGGTTTTCGCAGGAAGTTGTGAATATTAGAGTGCTATAGGTCCTGAAGTTTGAGAGAGTTGCGGCGTGTCTCACGGTTGACTCAGTTTCTCAAAGGCTCATCATTGTAAAAGCGTCAGTCTGTATCTGGCCGCGTTCAGTCACTGTTTGCCGTCAGTCCAGCTGAGAACGATGTCACCGAGTTTCCCTAAGTCTCCCTCTCTCCAACCAGTGGAGTTCAAGGAGGAAATTATGGCTTCGGTCGCCCGACAGGTTTGCTCAGCATACCCATCTGGTTGAGCTCAAGGAGGAGTTTATGACTTCGGTTGGCCAACAGACTTTCTCGGCATACTCAACCGGTTGAGCTCAAGGAGAGTTTCAGCTTTGGTTGCCCAATAATCTTTCTCAGCCTACTCAGCCTTTCTATCTGTGCTGCTGCAGGTCTTCACCGTTCTGTACAACACGGACGACAACGTCCTGGTGGCCGCTCCGACCGGCAGCGGGAAGACGATCTGCGCCGAGTTTGCGATCCTGAGGATGCTGCAAAAGGCGCCCAACGGGGGGCCTGGCGGAAGGTGGGTTCACATAGCCATGCTCAAACAGATCACAGAAAAAACGCTTCGAAGAATCCGGATTTTGAGCCGAACTTGATTTGGACTGGCTTCTTGAATGATTCAACAGGGCGTATCATTAATGTCTGACATTTTTGTGTACGTGCAATGGTTGAGAAGCAGTCACACTTTCCTTCTGCCCCTTCCTCCTTTTCTCACGGTCAGTTAGTGCTTTGAGAATTTTGGTGACTATTTTTGAGTACCTCCTCATTCCAGGTATTTCCATCTTTCGGTATTTAAGTCAAACGTGCTTCATCCTGTCTTATGAGTGCTTTTATAAACAGACGAGATCGAAAACTTCTAAATCCTCTGCTGATCAGGCTGCGCGAAATCTAGTACCGTTGACTAGCCTTGATGAATTTGGAAGGACACCCAACTCCTGTCCCCCTCCCCGCAGGTGCGTCTACATCGCCGCCACCGAGGCGATCGTCAAGGAGCGCGCCCGCGACTGGCGGCTCAAGTTCGCCGACGGCCTCGGCGTCCGCGTCGAGGAGCTCACCGGCGAGACGCAGGCCGACCTCAAACTCCTCGAGCGCGGCCAAATCATCCTCAGCACGCCGGAGAAGTGGGACGTCCTCTCGCGCCGCTGGAAGCAGCGCAAGAACGTGCAGACGCTCGCGCTGTTCCTCGCCGACGAGCTGCATCTGATCGGCGGCGAGAAAGGCCCTGTTTTGGAGGTCGTCGTCAGCCGGATGCGGTACATTTCCAGTCAGCTCGAGGGGAACAAGATCCGGATCGTGGGCCTCTCCAGCTCGCTCGCGAACGCCAAGGACCTCGGCGAGTGGATCGGCGCGAGCTCGCACGGGCTGTTCAACTTCCCCCCCGGGGTGCGGCCCGTCCCGCTCGACGTCAGGATCCAGGGGTATGACGTTAGCAACTTCGAGGCGCGCATGCAGGCGATGGCGAAGCCCACGTACGGCGCGGTGGTCAACTTCGCGGTCCGAGCGGGCAAGCCGGCGCTCGTCTTCGTCCCGACGCGGCGCCACGCGCGGCTGACGGCGCTCGATCTAATTACGTTCTCGCGGGCGGAGGGCCGGGACCAGGGGTTAGCGCCGGCCGGATTAGACCTAACCACGAACGAGGCGTTCAAGAGCCTGCAGGAACGGATCCGGGAAGACGCGCTGAAGAAGGCGGTGGCGTATGGCGTGGCGTATCTGCACGAGGGGACGAGCGAGAGCGACCGGGACGTCGTCGAACAGCTGTACTCGTCGGGGGTGGTTAGCGTCGTGGTTTGCGCGGCTGGTTTGTGCTGGGGGTTAGCGCTCGCGGCGCACCTGGTCGTGATCATGGGCACGCAGTACTACGACGGGCGCGCGAGCGGGCGCGCGGACTACCCGATCTCGGACGTCCTGCAGATGATGGGCCGCGCGAGCCGTCCGAACGAGGACGAGATGGGGCGGTGCGTGATCCTGTGCCACGCGCCGCGCAAGGAGTACTACAAGAAGTTCCTGTACGACGCGTTCCCGGTGGAGTCGCACCTGGACCACTTCCTGCACGACCACCTGAACGCGGAGGTCGTCGTGAAGACCGTCGAGAACAAGCAGGACGCCGTCGATTGGCTGACGTGGACGTTTATGTACCGTCGGTTGCTCCAAAACCCGAACTACTACGGGCTCCAGGGGGTGGAGCACCGCCACCTGTCAGAACACCTGTCGGACCTGATCGAGAACACGGTGTCCGATCTCGAGAAGTCGCGCTGCATCGCGGTCGAGGACGACATGGATCTCTCCCCGCTCAACCTCGGCATGATCGCCGCTTATTACTACATCTCCTACACGACGATCGAGCTCTTCAGCTCGTCGCTCACAGCCAAGACCAAGCTCAAGGGGTTGCTGGAGATCGTCGCGGCCGCGAGCGAGTACTCGGGGCTGCCGATCCGGCCGGGAGAGGAGGAGACGGTTAGGCGGCTGCTTAACCACGCGCGGTTTACGGTGGAGAAGGCCAAGTACGACGACCCGCACACCAAGGCGCACGCGCTGCTGCAGGCGCACCTGGGGCGGCAGACCGTGCCAGCCGGCGTTGCAGGTGGGTTATCTTAACCTTTTTTGGATAACTCGATCATCGTGATTCTGTATTTTACGGAAGGTGCGGTTTGCGTGCTACTGCAAGCGCACCTCAGGCGGCAGACCGTGTCGGCCAGCGTCGCAGGTGGGCTACTCATACTTTTGCCGCTTAGCTTGATGTTCCTGGTCGTAATATTGCGGTTGCTTACCCCTTCTGTGCGTATCACAGGCGACAGACACTGCCGGCCTAGCAAGTGAAAAGCTATACTTTCTGCACTTTGTTTAGCATTTGCTGTTTGATCGGGTGCCCACGAACCATGGTATTTGTGGGAAATCACTTTAACTGGTCTTCCCCTTGTCAGGCAAATTGGGTCCACCTTCTTTTGGGATTGCAGGAATCGAGATAGCTTGACTCTCCCTCCTCCTTTATTCCTTGGAGCTGTCTGTTTGGTTCTCGCTCGCCTTCCCGTGTCAGGCTGACTGCTACTGAGTCAGCTTAACCCTCGCTCTTATCGGGTCAGGCTTACTTTCGAGTGCGTCGAACAGGGCGTATTCGACTGTTAAAATAGTGATTGGAAGTTTAGCGTCAAAGAGGTTTTGTGGTCGGTTTGGTTCACGAATCGGGTTGGCGTAACCTCCCTCGTTCTTCTCGTGCAGGCGACCTGAAGGCCGTGCTGTTGGACGTGTCCCGCTTGATCCAGGCCATGGTTGACGTCATCTCCTCCAGCGGGTGGCTCAACCCTGCGCTTGCGGCCATGGAGCTTTCGCAAATGGTGACGCAGGGGCTGTGGGAGCGGGACAGCCCGCTGCTGCAGGTGCGTGCAAACTACGCTCCAGTTGCTTTTGCCTTGCTTTTTGTGAAAAGTTCATAACGGGCGTTCTGCAACTGGGTGCTTTGGCACGCTTTGGCTATCCTGGTGGTCGCAACTGAGCTGCAACCATTATGAGTGTAGTTTTAGGGGCATGCCCCGAAGTTTAGCTTGCTCTGATCTTGGTTTTACGGTTTTCTTGCATGTAGCAGCAAAGAGACCTGCCTTACATCAATTTTCTCTGTCTCAGCACGATCAGGTGCTGAAACGGAATCAATGCTAAGCACTGCTCGATTTCACGGAGGACCTTCCAAAATCTGATACAACGCACGTCCAACTTCTGAGCTTCACGGTGATCCTCCCTGCAGTTGCCTCACTTCACCAAGGAGCTCGCCGAGAAGGCCCAGGCCGCGGGCGTGGAGACCATCTTCGACCTGGTCGAGATGGAGGACGACGCACGCGAGGCGCTGCTGCAGTTCAGCGAGAGCCAGCTTGCTGACGTGGCGCGCGTCTGCAACCGCTACCCGAACGTGGACCTGTCGTACGAGGTCGTGGACGCGGACGAGGTGACGGCGGGCGAGGCGGTCACCGTGCAGGTAATGACGTCACCCTCGCTGTGTGCTGATGTCATTGTGCGCTCTTGCGGTGGGCTGGCTGGGCGGGCTGACTGTTGGGCAGCTCTTGGACGCTGTATCTCGACGCTCTGAGCAGACTTTTGACTGAACTGAATGGCTGCTTTGTGTTGCTAGGATTGATATGTGCGTTCAGGTCCTGAGTATGGTTCGTGCCACTTCTCATCATTTGTTGGAGTGCTTGGAGAAGGATCTGCTGTCTGCGGTTTGGGAAGGATTGTCCTGCGAATATGGAGGGTAACCTTGCTTGTAACGAAGGACTTCTGGTCGCTGCTTCTCTGCATACAGGTCCTGACTGGAGCAAGGGCCTTCAAACTCTGTTTTGTTGTTTGTCCTTTGACTGGGAACTTAGCCTGGACACTTTTCTGCTTTGCAGGTGTCGCTGGAGAGAGAGTTGGAGCCCGGCCAAGAGGTGGGCCCGGTGGATGCGCCCCGGTTCCCCAAGGCCAAGGAGGAAGGCTGGTGGCTAGTGGTCGGGGATCCGAAGAGCAACACCCTGCTGGCGATCAAACGGGTCAACTTGAACAAACGGCAAGCGAGCGTGAAGCTCGATTTTACGGCCCCGAGCGAGGCCGGCAAGAAGACCTACACTTTGTACTTTATGTGTGACTCGTACTTGGGATGCGATCAGGAGTACGAGTTTGAGCTGGACGTGAAGCCGGAGGGGGAGGAGAGTGACGAGGATGGCCAGGCGAATGGCAACGCGATGGATGAGGATTAGCCTGTCTTGAAGTAAAGTTGTAAAGAGCAGGAACGTGACTTGCTTTCGGAGTATGCTCATTATTGGTTCGAAGAGCATATCGGCCTGAAAGATTAGAAGACAAGGTCCTGCCATTGTATATCCAAGCTGCACAGCTGCTATGCTTCGTTGATTTGTTTCTCCGAAGTTGCGGTGTGCAGATCAGCTATACGCACTTGCCAATGTCGGACCAGTGTCTTGATGCGCAGTCTACGAGTTGTGCTTCTCATACATGTATCGTATATGTCTAGAACCCCAGTCGAGGAGTCGTAAGTTGTGCATTCGGAGTCGCTCGGCCAATAGTTCGACGTCCGATCAACTTGGGCTCTACCAGATTGCGACTCGCATGGCTACAAGCCTTGACCGGGCAGCTCGATATCATGGCCGATCCGCTCTGCTTTGTTTAGCGCACTGATCGAGCTGGCGGTAGGGGCAGCATGCACATTGTTTTGGACATCCGACTTAAACGACAGTCTCATATGTCAAGTTAAGTAATGCTAAATGGTATGTGTGCTGTCGTTTGAAGGAAACGATCGAAGTACTGTGGGCGGCCCCATGTGCGTAATAATTATTGCAGCTGCACCGTCGCCATTCGAATGCGCTCAGTAGCTAGCAAGGCGCGGAATCAGCTAATGCTTTTTGCCGCCATCATTGCAAAGTTCGTTACGCGCCCGGACGGTCCGATAATGACTTTTTACTGGCCAGGGGTTGAATAATAAAATATGCGTATGCGATATGGCCGCGCCGGCGGGACATGCAGGCTCACATACGAGCGTGTGCGTGTGCATATCGTAGTATCATGTACCTTTCAATATACCTTTCAATCTTGTAGCCTGGTGTCCTGGTGGCAAGCGCGCCCGTCTATGCCATGATGATAGCACGTCATGACGACCGCTGTCACTATCAGTACACGAGCAATAGCGGCGGCGGCTGATACTCTTTTTGACGACCATTGCAACATCACTCGACTACAACCATATCTAACCTTGAGAAGCATAAACTGTGAATTAGTACTTATATTTGTGTTCAGAACTTGCATATATACATACTAATTATGCTAGCGGATCTACGTGTCATGATCAATGAACTTACATTCAATTACTGTACTACATCAGGCTGAGGCCGATGACCTGTCTGATCAACACGGAATCCTTCTTAACTTCCACTAACTCACAACCTGGCATTTCTGTCATCTGCTACGTGGCTCCTACCGTCTATTCAGGCTCCTACTTCAAACACCTACTAGGCTTTCTATCATCATTGCAACTTGCATGATTGCTGTGCTGCTCACCTTCCAAACCAGTCACGTTTAAACGTTGACGCCTCGGCGTGCATCTATCCTCAGATCCGCGCATAGATACGGCGCACGACGTCCAATCGCGCATCTGGCCCTATTTGGCCCTCAGTGGAAGTCCGTGAAGGGCGTCACTCCCGCCACGTGTAATTGTAACTGTAACATGCACCTGTTTACTCCTACCTCATGTTCGCTTAGGCGCCGCGCCGCCTCGCTATCGTCTCACACTCGCACAAACCCGACACTCAGCTGGTGCGGAGTGCAACCGCTCCGAATCATTTCCGCCAGTGACGCCTGGATTGACCACGGTTCCTTCGGATTGTCGGTGAATACCACAAGATTGAGGGGCTTCAGCCCCCGGTCGTAGCACAACGCCGACATATATGCGTCCAAAAAGTACTGCATGGGTTTCGTTAGACACGGTTCCCCCGGTGGCTCCACCCGAGAAAAAAGCTCCACGATCTGCTCGCCGCATTGGACCCCAGTAACGTTTACCCCGCTGTTCATAAAGTGGATGTCGACGCCTTTGGGGTCAAACTCTGCCACGAGGGGCGCAACCTGCGCGAGCAGGCGGCGCATCCGCCCCCAGCGGATTTCGCTGTCTGCGGGGTCGACCGTCCAGCCGGAGTGCCCGGACCGCTCCATCGAAAACCTGTCGTCGACCAGAAACACCGTCTTCACCTGCTGCAAGGATCCGACGGCCGCGTCGCTTAGCGCCCCGGTCGCCGACACCGAGCGAACGGAATCGTAAACCCACTCGCTGTCATTGGACCGGTGGTCGAGCCCGTCGAGCTCGGGCATCTGCATCCGGTCCTCATGGGCGAAGAAGCGCACCAGATAGCGCTCCCGGCACAGCGACTCGTACACTTGCCGCCGCACCGGTTTCAGCGAGGCCTCCCACGCGCATCTCGCCTGCGGGTTGTCCGCCAAAAGCCGCCCTGACAACCGCTCCAATTTGTGCATCACATGCTTATACTCAGCGACCGGCCGGCGTTCCCGAGTGCTGGGGGGAGTGCCGGGGCACTCGGAGGAGTTGGGTTCCGCCCTCCGATACTTTGCGTCAATGCTGCAATACTCAGATTGGACGTACGTTTCAAGCACCGCGGTGTAGCTGCGCGCGTCTCCCCGGCAGTTGCGAAGCTGCTTTAGCGCCTCCCTTCGGGTCCTGATTGGCGCCGCCCATGGGAAGGACCGGCTAATCGCGCTGCCCTCTGTAACGGGAGCACCAAACGCCCGAGGCGCTGAAGGGTACGGAGCGACCAGGGCAAGGGACAGGGGCCAAGGAGTTGCGGCGGCGGGCAGTTTGTCCGCGCCCCCAAGCCGCGTCACCGCTTCTCGAAACTCCTGGATCCTTTTCTGCACTGGGATGCAGGGGGTGAGGTTCTTGCTCCCGAGCCGCGTGTTGGTGACCGGGTTAGTGTCCCGGATCTGGAACCATTTGGCGATTGCGGTGCGCTCAAAGACGTGGCCCTCTTGTCCGACGGAGACGGGGTCGGTCATCAGGGTTTGGGTTATGGGGCAAACCAGGTCTTCGGGGAAGTCGAGGTCGTTGGGAGACAAGGCGACGAAGCGTGCGGCCAGCAGCTCAACCTCGCTGACGGGGGCGGTAAGCGACATGGTTTAGGACAACCCTGCATTGGTAACCGGAAATCAGTATTGGAGAATTGGAGGATGAGTCCACGACCTGTCCATGCTTGCAAAGTCCAGCAGTTTCTTGCCACGACGGAATGGGTAGCACAATCCATCGTGGTCAACAGTTTATGAACTTGAACGTTCAGCTCCCATGGGATCACGCTGGAACGTACGCCATCTCTTTTGGTGTCCAAGAAAATTGGTTTGGCAGAGGTTGAGTGACGGACAACGCGAACGTGGTGAAATCAGTGTCCGCCAATGAGGAGATTGCACTTACATATTGCCTGAGTATCACACTCCCATCAGAACAAGTTTTGGTTTTTGAGAGTCTCTGTCCAAAAGCAGAAGCTCAAGAGCATCAAACAGATATATCAGAAAGGTGCAGCAGACAATAACGAAACGAACTCGGTTCGGCTCAACAACAGAAATGTCCACAAAAAGTTCCCTCCTCCTTTGGAAAGGCCGTACCCCGGCTCCCCGTGCTTGTACTCCGTTGATATAGTCACATAATTCCGAAAACATCGAAGTTCAGATTTGCCTTTCAAAGTCGCCCCAGTCTCTGGCACACGCACTCTGCCCTTGGCCTGGCAGGATCCTTCCGAGGATTTTAAGAGTTCCAGAAAAGCAAACGCCGTGTGGCAAGTACTTCAGCTTTCTCACAGGCTCTACTGAGAGAGTTCGGAGTCCCACCTGAGCGGCAGTGCTTCTGTAAGGAATCCAACCCCAGTGCCTTTCTAAGCACTTTCCCTGTGAACCCCTTCAATTCCTTTCCCAAGACCAGCAATAACTTTGGGATATACACCCCGCCAACACCTGGAATGTAGCAGAGTTGCAAGTTGACACCTTTGGTCCTATATGCTTCGGATTCAGCTGCAGGGTATATGCCCCGGGTTCAGCTGCAGGGAGAGTTCCATAAGGGGCACAGGTTGAGAGGGATCATCCGTCAAGTCCCTGAATCAAGCGCTTCCGTACTATGCACCGCAGAGACATGCTGCCAGATCGAAGTGGGCATTGTTCTCATCTTCTGCCGCACTCCAGAATTCAACCAGTAAGTGCACCAATCATAGGTGCTGGGTGCACCCGGCCCGCAATTAGCTGACTAGCCCACCAATCAGCTGACCAACTTGAGCAAACGCATGCTGTGAGGATGTTGACATGCTGAGGACTTGATACAAGTAGACTGTATCTGTAACAAGCCTACCACCAGCAAGAAGCTGAGCACCCTAGTTGATGTAATGTCTCACCTTTGATCACGTAGAACCCATCTCTCTGTACACGGAAGGCGTCTGCTGCCAGGTCTTTGGACACGGGGTCCACGTGCAGGCTTCTCTATATTTACGCCTGTTCCAGCATTGAAACCCTGCCTGAGCTGAAGGCTGAAGGCTGTGAGCTGAAGAGCGACAATCCCAAGCTGATGGTTTTTAGACATCATCCAGCGCCAAATCTTGGTGCCCTCTCCGCGGTGGCTTTTGCCATTCAAAAATCTGAAATTCAATGATTCATAATTTCATTGGGCAGCTGTCGTTTGGGAGGGATCATCGTCCTTGCAAGGGATCATGTCAGATTGAAATGCATAGCTAGGATGACTCATGCACACGGTGCTTTGAAAAGCTCTAGGGCCTATGCACACCTGAGGGGGGATGTCGGGGTTTCCCAGCCAAATTGGAGATCCGGGTCTCGAAACCGACATCCGGCACCCCGTTCGGGCTATGCACACTAGACGGGGTCTCGCTGACGTGTACGAGACCCGGGTTCTCAAAATTTGTCGAAATCCGAGACCCGGCCCTTCGGCCGGATCTCGGGATGTCGCATTTAATGCTCGAGGGGAACGAAGCAGCAGCTGCCGCCAAATCCTGTTCTTCCGACTTCTCTGTGCGCCACGCAGCCTCATGCAGGCTCTCATCACTGAGTCCAACTTCAGTCTTCAGGCAGCAAGAGGCCGCCTTGTTGGCAAGCTGGTAGGCATCCCGTAGGCATGCCCAAAAGGAGCTCAAACAGCATTTGAAAACTTATAGATTGGGACTCCGTCCCGAGAGGGTCCCGAGCAGCACTTGGAAAAGATTCAAAGCCCGTCACAAATTTCTCTCATGGAGAACACATCAACACCAGGGGCTGATTCCGGTGAACAGCATTGGCAAGCGCCGCCGGCCCCTGCTCCAGGGAGCGTTGAGGCAAGTTGGCGAGAGGTTTTCTTGCAACCAGTGACCTGATGGTACGCTGTATCGCACACCAGTTGCTGATCCAAGCGAGATCCAGCAGCAAGTTGCGGCGCAGTCCGCTCTAAACCTGATGAAGCAGAATCCATCGTGGGCTGACCAGCTTGCTGACCAGCTAGGCTTTCCAAGGTCAGAGCACATAGCGCCCTCAATTGTGGAGGCTTACTTTCAACAACCTGTCTCTGGTCACGCAGCTGCTTCCGCAAGCGCGGGCCAGCCTGTCACTCAGGCTTCTATGAACATTCCCTCCATCACAATTGAAAGTAGCTCGCGCACAACAGATCTTTTCCGATGGCAGGGCACACAGAGCAGCCGTCTCTAGCAGGGGCAAAAACACCTTCTTTGGAAAGAACTGCTGGCAGCGAAGCAGAAGTGCGAGTTAAAAGAGGCTGGGCAGAGACGGATGACGAGTCTGGTGACGAAAGTGCAGCTGAGGATGATACAGAGTTCTTCAGTAATGCTAGATTGGAGGTTCTCTTGATGTGTCGGTCAAAAGTCTGGGCGCAGGTTGCATCTGATTCCAAGAAGAAGACGTCAGCAAAGAATGTTGCAAAGTGGAAGACTGTATATGCACACTGCGTAAAAGCAGACCCCTCCTTCCAGCTGCGGACAATCGAGCAGCTGAAGACCGCATACAAGAACAGGAACAAGGCATACACGGTGAGTTTGTCAATCTGATCACATTCTGCAAGGGTTGTTTTAAATCAATAAGGACCGGAGTTTTTGAGAGCTTTGGATGGTTCCCCCGGGATTGCTTCTCTAGCCTGAGGGTGCATTAGAATTGAACCTGGTGCCTCATGATCGTTGTTTTCTCCATGCAATTTGACGTAAGGTTGTAGCTCAGGCTCAACATGACAAGGCTTAGATTGAACCAGAGTTGTTTTGAATTGGTCGGTCCAGTCTAATCACCTCTTTCAAAGAGCGAAGAACGGACCACAAAGGCTGCTCTTAGACTGGTGTACAATATGCAGCAACATGGGAATTTTGTAACTTCACGTTGAGTTCGGGCCATCCTTGCTGTTGCGCACTCGCCAAGCAGGCTTCGTACAGTCACATCATTCCGCTGGCTATGCATATCAGCTCGGGTCACGTGCATTAACTTGGTTAGTACGTTTTTGAATGCAGAAGTACCGCTCGGTGGCCGGTCTCAGCGGGCAAGGCCAAGATGCTAGAGATCGGAAAACAGGGAGGGTGATCAAGAGGCTGCCCTACTTCGACCTCTGGGACAAGTATCACGCGAACGATCCAAAGGTGGCCCCAAAAGTGAGGTCGGATGTGGGGCTTCCGGACCTGCCGAAAAAGCGGAAGTCCCCGGTGAAACCCACGCACGTTAAGAGCAAGAAGGCGAAGGGGGCTCCCGAGGGGACTGCAAGTGTACCAGTAACGGAGGAAGTTCCACCCGCAACCGATAGAAGAGGGAATGGGACTGGATTCGAGGGGCAGCCTCGTGCAAGCCGGACGGGGGAGGCACCAACGGAGGGGGGGGCTGATGGGCCAATCGATATCGACACGCCGCCTTTCAAGGGAGCCTCGACATCGCGTGCGGGAAAGAAACGAGAGCACCCTGCAGATGAACGCCCCGGGGATGATGCATACCCAATGTCGGACTTCAAAATGGAGTCCGCGGAAAAGCCAACGCCCCCATCCAGAAAAAGGAATTATCGTGATAGCGGTGACGAGCGCCTCTTCGAACTAGCAGAAGACATAAGGGAGGAGGCTCGACAGGAGCAGCTCGAGCTGCAAAAGAGAGCAGCTGAATTGGCCGCACAGCGCAAAGAAGAGTCTGAGAAGTTCACTGCCGTGTTGACAAACTTGAGTACATCAATGGCAGAGGCAAACAAGCAAACAAGGGACGGCATGCAAGGCATCTTAGAAGTCATGCGGGAGCAGAAAACCGAGAACAACCAGAATCAAGCGGCCATGCGAAGCGTTTTTGAGAGAATGCTTGACCAGATTTCTAAGTAGGCAAGACAATACTTTATCAAGTCATGAGGACGTAAATGTTTTCGTAGATAAGCACCATACCTCAGATGAGATCGGGTCTTCAATCTTTGTACATTCCGAGTCGAATCATGATTGTGCTCGTTATGTGACAAGGTTTCAGTAAGGTCTAAATCGTGAAATAACCAAGGAACCGAGTGCAACAATCAAACAGCACATGGCATGTGTATATAATGGTGTTCCTCCGTTCACTGAAGCAGATGATGCATGCATGATTGAGATGCTATGCAACCCATCCTTTCTCAACTCACGAAAGCTAGCATCTGCCCTTGTGTAGTTCTATTCGTGTTCGACAGAGCATGCTTACACGTTTCGAAGTAGTATGGTGTATGATTGATGCTCCGAAGACTACTCAAGATAAGGACTATATCAATCTTCGGCACAAACTAAGGGCACCACATAATCTGCTCCAATGGATTAGCACCTTGACTTAACATTATGATAGATGGGAAACTGATCCGCCGGTCAACATATTTCGAAGGCATCTAGATATCAAGAATCACATGTGGTAGTTCGAAGGCATCTACAATATCAAGAATCACATGTGGTTACTTCGAAGAGAAGTGAATCACAATTGAATGGAAGAAACGTCTATAAGTTCACCGCTATCGAGTTCCTCAGCGCGTCTCCTTCGCTAATTACTCCAGGGGCTCTATGGACTTGTTGTGTAGGCTGTGGATTACTTGTAAGCTCGTTCAGTAAGGCAGTCCTTCTTAGCTCACGAGCTCGCTCTCCAGGACGAGTTCTTGCTCGACGACGACGGTTGCGATTGGAGTTATGTACCTGGCCCATATTGTGGAGCACACATATGGCAGTCACTACAGTCACTAACTTCCGAAAGATGCGTGTCTCCAGCTTGTACATCAGAATCCTCCACATGTTCTTTAAATACCCGAACGCCTGCTCGACGGCCATCCTTGTACTTGAGTGAACGTGATTGAACGTTTCTTTCAGCTCAACAAGGTCTGAACCCGGATAAGGAGTAACAATCGTCTTAGAAGCCCCATAAGCCGCATCAGCTACCAGGTAACCACCTTCAAATACCTCTTCCCCATGATTCAAAAGAAACGTGCTCAAATCACTGAAATTATACACAGTAGAGTCGTGGTTCCCTCCAGCACAACCGGCGAAAATGTTTGTGAAGCAGAACTCAGAATCCACGACAGCCTGCAAGTGGATCGAATAAAACTTCTTGTAGTTGCGGTAGTCCTCTTGCTGCTGACCCCGAGGCGGTTCAATCTGGATGTGAGACCCGTCTAGAGCACCACACACATCTGGAATCCCCTTGTTAGACCATTTGCTCTCGGCCCCTCTTAGTTGAAAGCCAGCCTTAACCTGAGCAAGTGTGCGCCTTGCCCACTCCGCAAACGGAATGTTCCACCACGGCCGTCCCTGCGGGTCATTTTGTGGTGGTCGAAGAGGCCCGTATGGAAAGCTGGAGCAACGTCAAAGACATTGAAATCAGAGATATGTTTAAACCAGGCCCTTGAAGTGAAAAGGATGGAAGTTCGAATGCAAAACTGCTTCTTGCCCAACAAAGTTCTCACATAAGAAATTTACGATCAGAATTTGGGCTGCAGGCGTCGCTGGGTTATTGACTCATTGAACAAGCTTCATAGAAAAAGGAAGACTGCAATCCAGACAAGGGTTTCGAAACTTCGAAAGATTTTCATACTTTCGGTAATTCATTAACGGCCTGAAGCACTCAAGTGTTCCATCGACAGTCGGTCAACTTGAAACCTGAGATAGGAGCCAGAAAAGAGCATTGCCCACTTGAACTTTCGGAGGTTGAACACCCACCTGATGTATTGCGCTGCAAGCCTTTGGACAATTGCCTTGGTCACAGTGTACACCTCCTTTCAAACGGTGGAGACCCCAATCCCAAAAAGCTCAGAGATCTGTTGGTAACTTGCAAAATGAGCAAGAAAGTATATGACCGCAGCAACCCTTTGGTGCACCGGGATGGCTAGCCTGAACTTTGTGTCCTGACGTACCACATCTGCATAGATCTGGTCGCACAAGAAGGCAAAAACATTTCTCTCCAAGCGGAAGTTCTCAGCCCATCTGTCTCCCTTGTAGTGCTGCGCGTAATCAAACCACCAGACCTTTTGTCTTGGCAGCACCCAAACGGATCTGATGCTTATTCTCTCCTGCCGGAGATGAAGCTGGATCAACTTGAGCAGCCTGCGCAATCGTCGTCGAGACAGGCGTCTAGCTGCAGCCTGCAGTGCAAGCTCCTGTGCCTCTAGCTCATACAGTTGCTGAGAGTAGTTAGCCACAAGGTTGGCGGCCGCTGCAACAATCGCTCCAGCAGTAGAGTTGCCAAAGAAGCTGCTGACAGGACTGAGCTGAGGTTGCTGCTGTATGACACTGAGCATAAAGAAGCAAAGAACAAGGAGTCTCTGTCTTCTTTGATGCTCTGGCAGGGCAATAGAGGGTTGCGCTCTTGCCATCCTCATACGCTGAGTCACAACTTTGAGCAAGCCAGGGCTTGCAACTTCGTTGGAGTCCCTGAAAACTGATCAGTGCTTCAAGCTTGCAGCATTGAAGCCGAGACCTTCTGACGATTAGCTCCTGACTCAGAACGTTGTTACAAGATCATCTTTCACAAGGGATCGCATCCACCCTGACAAGGCTGCTGGAGGCCTACCTACGCTCAGCTTTGAGAGCGCAACTTGTGCCCGACTGGAGTCTACAGCTACGGCAGTGTGCCCGACTGGAGTCGACAGTGTGAGCCGGGCTGCCGCGTATCATGCAGGCCCGGGCGCAGCGCGCCCGCGGTCGACAATCGGAGCGCTCAGGCTGGCGGCCGCAATTGATGACGTCAACATTACGCTCGCCGAGACCCCAACATCCTGCCAAATATATGGCTAGTGTGCACAGGGTCGTTGGGGCGTCGAGAGCCCCGGGGTTCGGGTTCTTGACAAACGTCAGCAAAACCCCGTTTTTGGCTCCGAGACCCCGTCTCAGGTGTGCATAGGCCCCTAGTAAATGTAAAGCGCCAACACTAACACCAAAAACCTAACCCAAAAATTAACCTGCTCCGCACCCCGTACTGGCACCTTATTTAAAAGGGCCTAAACCCCGGTCCAAATCAACCGCACCCG